TTCAATCAACGAATCATGATTTACCTTTTATGTACAATCAATTATTATGAGTTGAAGTTGAAGGGAATCGAATCTATATCGTTTTGAAATCAGCATATTTCATTCGATATTTCAAACAGCCAAATATGATGGTGGAGTCGTGACGTATTAGTCCCGAACTGTAGCTATCTCTCTCTGATACCTCGCCATTCTGCAGTGTTGCAGTGTAATTGGTCAGTTCAAGGACAATAGGCGTGTTGGGACTAAGACGTCGCACCAGTCACACCAATGGATTGATGAAATTTCAAATAGCGCAGGAATTGTGTGTTTTGAAAAGGACATATACTAATTTATTTTTTTTCATCGTCTTAGCATGAATGAAAAAATTCAAAATTAATTCACTGGTAGTTTTTCAGCATAGAGTTCACGATAATGTCGTTTTAAAATATCAGTGGTCTTTCCCATTGGTCAAAACGGTTCAAATGTCCCTATCCTAACTTTTCCCGTACTATCAATCGATATTTAATTGAATTCAATTCTGAATGTTGGGATAGGGACACGAAAACCGCCGAAGCCGCTAACATATATTGACTGACTGTTTTCTATGAAGTGTGGTCGACCGACTTTGAGCTACCTACTTGTTTTTTTTTTTAAATCACTTTGGATCAGTTTGAGTTTCATGAAAATCATCTTAAATTTCACTTGATATCAGTAAATGAAACCGATAACTCGAAGTTAACTTTTTTGGTGTAATATTTAATACAAGTATATCGAACTATTGAATGCATGGAAATTCTTCAGAAGGATCAGACTCCGTTGCCGCCTCTGACGAGTCGCCACTGATGGTAGGTACTCATTTCTGGTTAACAACCTGTATAGTGTATTATGCATGTGAATTATTTCTACAACATTGTGCAGAGTTATTGGAGCTTTGGAATACTTGTAATGAAATATAAAAATGGTAACAAAAATTGCATGAACTGTCGATTTCCATAATATTCATTTGATCCGTTTATCATTCGTTTTTATTATTCATAATTATGTGTCTAAATTGTCTACACATGTTTTGAAGGTACTATATAGATGTAAAAACATTGACATAGTATTTATTATTTGTAGATGAATAAAACATTTGAAGTAAATGTTGGTCACGTTGTTGTTTCCGTTGTTATTTTCGAGTTCAATTCAATACAACCCGTAATAACCTAAGGAAAATTTGATGGCAACTTCTTTCAGTCGATACAAGGAGTCGATTAGGAGGAGGGATGCATCCACATTCTCCAATAGTTGTAATAGTATGATGCAAATGTATGGAATAAATTCATTATTTCAGAAATGGGCGGCATTTGAGAAAATTCCAAAAACACGTGAGTTTTAGGTAATTTCTGAAGCCTCATCTCATGATATTCATACGAGAGATGTTACGTCACCGGTGTTGGAGTAAAGACGTAATGGACGATTTTTTCAAATACAAATAGGGGTCATGTGACACCTTGATTGAAAGGTCTACCGATCGTCTATTCAACAGTCAAAATGTTGCATAAGGAGATTGAAATTGAAATGGATTATCATGTGATTAATTGAATCTTGCAGAGGTCTGCTACTGAGAATTGAACATCGAAGGGTCGTCTAGTTAAAAAAATACATCGAAAAAAAGTTCTAAACTCTAGTTTTTTTTTTCGAAAGTCGTCTTGTTTTGAAATGAATTTATTCCATACATTTGCATCATACGTATATTGTTATATGCCTATGCTCATGGTCAGATTTTCATGTTTTATCCCTTGACATTGACATTGACTCTATGTCAACGTCTTGTCCATGTCTTTAATTGACATAATTTTCAGTGTTTTCTAACCAAATTAGTTTAGATTTGAAACACGTGCTGGCTATTTGCCCCATCAATTTTATTGATATTTGCCTTTAAATAACGCTTTCATAAGGGAACGGGGAACCCCTTTTTTAAAAACCCGCTAGTTTATGGTGTTGTCAAATAATAAACTGTTTGACAATACCCTTCATATACCATTTTGGTATATGAAATGTTCATTAATAAAAAATAGTATACGCTCTCAGGGCACGGGGCCCTTCATTTATTGAGAACCCGTTTTTTCAGAACCTTGGTACTCTTGACTATGGGTATTGACAGTTCAAGGAATAGTAGCATCATAATAAAATAATAATTTTTTCATCTCCAAGTAAGTCTATCATAAAATAGGTAATTCTTTCACTTCAATATCAGTTGTTTTTGTATTGTAGACCTTTCAATTAGGCTGAAGATGGTCTTTTATAAGACCGAAACATGTCCCTCATAATTTAGTAATAATATCATTGAAATTTGTGGAGATGACTTCGAGCATTCCTTCCTTCCTGTGGAATATTTCACTCCACTTTGAGCAATATGGACTTCTACCAAAGATTAACTTCCATAAGAAGTTGATGTGGTCACTTTGTGGGCAGATTTAAAACGTGGCCGATATTACCAAACAGCTGGCTGGTCAGACTAATGGTCAGACTTCATACTGAACGTATGTGCCTGGTCAAACCACAGACACAGCCATGGTGAATAACTTGCAGAGAATATGTTTCAATTCTGGTGCACATTTTTTTGAGGGGGAGTTTGCTGCAAACATCTCTGCAAAAATATTCGCATTTTCCTGCGATGTTCCTGCTAAAGTGCCGTCAGCTTTGGAGAATGGTGAAAATGAACTATCAGTGAAATTCCTCCCAACTGCTTTGGCGAGGAACCAAAACGAACGGGATCCATTGGGACAATCTATGAGGTTCGATCTCATTTTGGCATTGTAGATTTCTTTTGGTGCATCTATCGTTTGGCTGCAGTTATTCCTGGCTTCAACGTATCCTGCTCTAGTCGCGAGGTTAGGGTTTTTGCGCCAGCGATGGTAAGCTGTGTGTTTCAAGGCGAAAGCTTTACTGAGAATGAGGTATTCCTGTTGCAGTTCAAAGGCTGAACAGTGACTTGGAACTCCTGAACAATTATTGTGAAAAACATGCTCTGAAACTGAATCCTAAGAAATCATTAGCTATGCTGTTTTGCGCGAAGCATATTTACGAAATAATTAGAAATGAAATTATTCTTCATATTGACAACGTTCTCATACCACTGGTTACTGAAGCTAAGAATCTTGGACTGATAATGGATATTGACTTCAAGTTTACGAGCCAGGTAAATAATTTAGTAAAAAAATCATATCTGTCACTAATACTCCTTTTTGTAAATAAAAATATTTTTAATTTTTCCCTAAGAAAGAAACTGTGTGAAACTATCGTCTTGCCAATTCTTTAGTATTGTCTTATAATTTTTTATCCTTATCCAGACTCAGTTACTAAGACAAGATTGCAAAAAATACAAAATACCTGTTGTCGTTTCATCTATGGTCTCAGAAATTTTGATCATATCAGTCACTGTTTTCGTGCACACAGATGGCTAAATATTGAGTTTTTGTGGAAATATCATTGTATTATTTTTGTTCATCGTTTGCTGATTACGTCAATTCCAATCTATTTAAGAAACAAATTAATATTTCGTAACCAACAACATAATGTGAATGAAGGTAAGAGTTAACAACACATTGGATATACCACGCCATTCGACAGCTTTGTACCAGAAATCTTTTTCTTATAATGCTGTGAAATTGTACAATTCACTTGATTCCTCTTTCAAAATTAATGTTATTCATTCCTTCAAGAAACGCCTTAAATTACATTTATTGCTCGAACAAAGTGCCATTTGAAATTAAACTATATTTATTTACATTAATTTATTATAGAAAAATTGAATAATTGCAAGTCATCTGCACTTAGTGATTGAAGTATGTTAAGTTTATGTATTATGTATTATAAATGTGCAGGGTTAGGTGTAAGAGTAGCCATGATGGCTAAACTTCGCTCTGCCAAATGTTTGTATAAACATTAAATCAAATAAAGACGTTTATTATTATCATTATTATTATTATTTATGTGTCCATTCCAAGCGTGACAGCCGATTCAGAGTCTCCTGAATTGTAATGCCATAAAAGTCGTGGGGGTGCTGGAGCAATTATCAAAGTTTACTGATCTTCTGTAGTCTATGAGTTTATGGAATGAAAAATGAGCAGGTTCATAGAGTACAGAAGTCATTCAGTAATCTTTGGCAGGTTGTGGAGATGAGTGTGTGATCAGAATTGCCAAGTTGGGCTAGTACATCTATGGTGTTAGGTGCTGAGTTATTAGTGAGGAACAAGTCAAGTGTGTTAGCTGAATGGTTATTGACATCCAGAAGTTGTGGGGGTTCCTTGATAAGCTACTCTAAGCCATTAGTGATGGCGAAAGCTCCGAGTTGTCGCCCAGTTTCATCCGTTTTATTGTAGTGTACGAGCCAAGCAGTGTTGTGTATATTGAAATCGCCCATAAAGATGATTTCGGCTGCTGGGTGGTTCTGTTGAATTTGGTCAAGCTTCAGAGACAAGACTTCGAAGAGCTATCCATAGGATGGATCATTTGGTGATAAGTTGAAACAACAGTGAAATTTGGCCTGTTTCTGGCGATGTCTCAACTGATTCGGCGTTATTACCACTTTCGATTATGTTTCCAATGAGATTTTTTGGCCATTTGATCACTTTCAATGATATGCCCGAATAGTTTTTTCAACGATTTGACCACATTCGGTGATTTGCCTGTGAAGAGCAGTTTGGGCGATATGAACACTTTTGGTGATGTGACGGAAGAACAGATTTGGCATTATGACCATTTTCGGCGATGCGTCCTAAGCATTGTTTCAGCCATGTAACCACTTTCGTCCGATGTCCAGAAAACTCATTCGGTGTTATGACCACTTTCGGCGATGTGTCCAAAAAGATGTTTCGACAGTTTGACCACATTTGACCAAATTCATGCTAAGAATAGAATTCTTGAAGCTCGTATATGAACAATATTTTTCTCTGTGTAGCTTAATTTTATCAAAACATGAATAACAAACAACCTTCGATAGTTTTTTTGACTGCTATCACCGAACCTGCTAAATCATATCTGTAGCTAGACTGACTTTTCTTTCTCTGTCAAGAGATATATTGATAACGGATAATGGATCGACCCTGCTTCGTGATCTTCTCATAAAACAAACAGAATTTCAAAATAAATATAGTGAATGTTTACAATCGGCTCACGATATGGAAAACTCTTGTGAAACGTAGGTGTTGACAATAACGATATTCTATACGTGAAAAAGTAATGTTCCATACTTATCCGATCTACTTTCTAGGAATGTTTTTGATCTCGGTGACATCGTTCAAGTGGTGGATATAACGAATCTACAGAAAAATTTCTATGTTGAAGATGAAATGAATAATTTGGACATGACGTCACTAGGGACGTTTGTGCTTTTGGGTAAGTACGAAAGTGTATGAGCCCAGACAGCACAGAATATTCCATGAATATTCTGACAACGTTCAAATATACTTATTTTACAATATTCCGATAGAATGTTGTCAGAATGATCATAGCTATCAGGCGAGACAATAGACAGTGCATATTGAATTTTTTTGTCGACTTCTAACATCACATCACAGGCCTATTCACATGTGAAATCTTTCGGATTTCGTGAATAATTAATTTCAACCAAAGAAGGGAAGATTTGTATTTCGTGCAAGAAATTTATTCAAAATATTCGTAGCAGAGCGCTTTCGACTGTTAAGTCATCATCAGTGCGTACCTGTAAGTAAGTAATCTGCTTTTAGCTATTGGAAAGAAATTGTAATTGAAAATTCTAAAAAAAAAAAAAATTTCGAAAAATTTTTTGAAAAAACACATTTGAAAAAATTTTTCTGGGTTTAATATTGAAAAATTAAAAAATAAATTGGTGACTTGTTATCACTTCAACACGACATGTCGCAGCGAAAATGGCTGCTTAACAAAATGTAATCCATATTTTACCCCCTTTTGGGAAACGCATTTTAATTTGTTTGAAACGTATTTTACTTTACTTCTTTACTTTTTCAATATTAAACAAATTTAAATAACAATTTTTTCAAGAAATTTTTTCGAATGTGTAGGTATTCAAAATTTTTTTCGAAAAAATTTTTTTTTTTAGAATTTTCAATTACAATTTCTTTCCAATAGCTAAGATTACTTACTTACAGGTACGCACTGATGATGACTTAACAGTCGAAAGCACTCTGCTACGAATATTTAGAATACATTTTTTGCACGAGATACAAATCTTCCCTTCTTTGGTATACAGGGTGTCCCTAGACCAGTGGGACAGACAGTTGAATATCTCCTGAACCAATAGGAATTTTCAAAATATTATAATTTCACATCATATCGCATTATGAGTGCTAACTTCAGGAATAAATCGTTTGAAATATTCCCGGTATCGTTGAATTTGTCATGATAATCCCTAACCGAATATAAAATACAATATTGGGTGTCCCATTTGAAAATCAAAAGTTGGGGTAGTTTCCGGTAAAACAGGAAGTGTTAAAGAGAAATTGAAATTAAATCAATTAATGAGCAATTTGGTATACTTGCTACCCACTAATTTTCAAAACCCTATCTGGAATAATTCGAAAGTTACAATCCTGGCCGTTTTTTGTACCTTTCTCGATCTGTGTGTACATTTATTACTAATCACTAATATCATATGCAATTTATAAGTTGTATGTGATTATCCAAACAATAATAATAATATGGGTTATTATGATAATACAGTGTCAAAATGTTTTTCAGTAGATTTTGAAATGTTTCAGTAGATCAGTTGATCAATATGCGAAACAGATCTACTAAAAATTCAGTAGAACTGGCAACCCTGCACCGGATGAAAAGTGTTTGCTGACGGAAAGTAAATGTCCGTGGACGAAAAGTAGGTACTTACCTTCGGAAATAGTCGGTTTTTCGTTCGGAAATTATAACGTAAATTGTGTTCTATAACATCTGGAGGAAGAATTATATGTTTCACACGCCAGTGAATCTACTACTTTCCTGCCTAGTGGAACAAATAACTGTTTTCTTGCAGAAAAATCGACCAGGACTAGGATATCCACAAAAGAGAAAAAAATTGACGATGATTCATGTGTACAAAGAATATCACTGGCATACGAGAGACTACATACCATTCCCAAAATAATCATGGAAGGAATAACACGATATGTAAAAATTTTGGATATTAGTCATAATGAATTTGAGTAAGGGGCTTTGAATAATTCATAACTCTCATTTTAATTTTTCACTGCTATTTCCATTGATATCATATGTATGAATAGTATAATATGGTAGTTGAAGACCATACTTTATCTACGACTACTTATCACAAAGAGGAGTTGAACTCTGGAATATCAAACTCTAAAAAACGAATAAGATCGACAAAAATAATATCAACGTATTCTCACCTTTTTTTTGTTTTTTCAGAAATTTAGAATTTTTGAAAGATTTCCATCAACTGACTTCATTGATCTGTGATCATAACAAGATAACCTCCACTGTCACTATTCCGTTCCTGCCTACGTTAGAATTATTGTGGATGAACTATTGCAAGGTTGGTATTATTGTTGTTGTTCTAAAATTGTCCTTATCCATCATTCGGTTGCCCCCTCACGAGCAACCCTCAAAAGTCTTCAACACACCTACCGGCAATCCAACGTTGATAGAATATTGAAGCTTCAACCACGAGGCTACGCTGGCCAATATTCATTGATTTTTAAGAGATCAATCAGATCGAATCACAATTTCGAACTCCAAAGACACAGTAAACTGATGGTTGGAACACTGTCCAAAACAGTGACTAACGACATTCTGAGCCTAAACAAAAGTCAGATCAAACACGTGACGGGACTAATAACCGGTCACTGCCCCTTGAGGAAACATATGCATCAAATGGGCATCTACACAGACGAACCCATATGCAGACTATGCAATGAGGTGGAGGAAACTGCCTCCCATGTAATATTGGAGTGCGAAGCACTGGCGCGTTGGAGATAAAACCTTCTGGGAGCAGTAAACTCTCAAGAGGCATTTCCAAAGAATGATTTGGTGAAGAGGCTGCTAAACCTTATCAAGGTAGCGAACCTATTCACCTAAGTCAACAGCATGATCAGGAATACAATAGGCCCAGACGCTGCAGTGTTCTGGGCTTCGAACGCTGACTGATCATTCTGCTATTGATCAATCAATCAATCAATCAATCAAAGGGTGTACCTGGTTATAAGTGGGTAAACAACAAAATAATTCTGGATTCTTTACATAGAATTCTCGAAATAAAATGACACCCTGGTCGAGATACATTCATCCCCAAACAGAAAGAATGATGATTGAGTCTTTGCTATTTAGATTTCTGGCCTAGTCCAAATATGATTGATTTAATTGAGGGTATCGAATTCAAATCCAGTCCTCCTACCTATAGGAAAACATCTAGGAATCTTTATATACTCAAACGTTTATGCCAGGGAATGAGAGAATATCCCTAACAGCACAATTATGTCCCATGGACATCCTTAGGACGTCCATGCTCGTCTTCGACTCGGAATGATTTTCAAAATATCCATGAACTCGAGAAAATTTCCGAAAATAATTTGACCTCTAGTGGTATTACAAGTGATAACTCATTTCCAGTTTTTCGACTCCTGAAGTGCATGGAACAGAACATAAACCAAGAAACTGTTAACTGGATTGAAAGTGTCACTTCAGTCCCTGGATTTATAATCTACTATATAATTACTATAAAGGGCATTCACGCTGGGTTGATAGTTGCGCAATACTTGGTAACAATGTCGTGCCAAAACTGCACATCGAAAAATACTAGTAACTTTCGAAATGGGCGAACCGCGTTATCGATTTAAGTTGGCAAAACTGTACACCGATTTGTAGTGATCAGCTGATCTCTGCGAATTATTCATTACTGACAATTTGTACTCTCAAGGAGTTGTTTGTGATTTATTTGTGGATCATAGGTGAAATTCGATTTATTCAAAATGCCTAAACCATTGAGTGCGTATAGGCGCAGAAGATGGTCCATTACTTCCAATGACTGCTGTGAGAGATGTAAATTGAATGATGGTATTAATAATGATATTTTGTGTTGTTCGAATGATCCAAATATGATTCGTGTTAGTTTATTGTAATGACATAGTGGTTTCATGAGTTTTTGTAGGTTTTTCTCATGAATTATATTGAGAATATTGAAGTAAGAACAACTTTTGTTGTCTATTTCATGATTTCCAATATAAGTAGATGCACCACTATTTATTTTTTCACGAAATAAAATCAATTGATCGAATTTCTATTTCATTTCACCCATTTATAGTAATTGAAAAACATTCAAAACGATTAGATAACCTAAAAATTGAATTCGGAGTTTTTATTATTTTCACTCAGTGAATGTGAATACTGATCAGTTTTATTAAAAAAAAAAATAATTCAAGACATGATTGTGTATTAGGAGAAGTGCTGGTTTTGAAACATGAATGGACGGCTTTTGAGTTGGTTCCAAAAAACATTATAACGTTCGACGATCGTAACACTAGACATATCCTTATTCAGGCGGTTGATCATTCAGTCATTTCCTTTCAACTGGCAACACTGTATGTGTTGACATATTGACGTCACTATCAACCCAGCTGAACGCTCATGTATCTATTTTTTTCCAGATCGAGGAATTATACCCATGGGCGAGAAAACTGAAATATTCTTGTCCCAATTTGAAATATTTGTCCCTTATGAAAAATCCTCTCATCCTCCACTATAGCAACAATGGATTTAATCAGGAACAACTGGATTATCGGTAAGATTGAGAATAAATTAAACAAATTAATGAACTATGCATACATCAATTTTTTTTAGATTATATATGATCTCATTATTTCCTCATTTGATACACCTAGATGACAAAGTTGTAACGGCAAACGAGAGAAAAGAAGCTATCAGACTATATAACAAACCACTACTGGACAGGGTGGTAACGAAAACCCAAGAGAATCTACCAGATTACTTGAGAATAGCATCTCAGAAAGTTGCTATGATGCTGTCATCATCGCCAGCTTTTTCAATGAGTGATACGAAAAGTGTTGTTATATAGTTTTGTTTCTTGTTGACGAATTTTCATTGATTGATTCAAAGTCACATACAAACTCTTACAAATTTAATAAAGCGTAAACGATGATGTATGTACATACGAGAAATATTTGCGCTGAAATTTTATATCACATAGACGAAAAATATACGTGTTGTTTCATTTGAAGAAATCTACAAAATACAATTCAAAAAGTTCCGAACTGAAACATAATTTTTTGCCACCCTGTATAATTTCAGAGCATGAAAATGAAACAGATGCATCACAAATATGTCTATCAAATGACTCACATAATAACAAGGCCGGATTAAGAACACTTGGCGCCCAAGGAACAATATATTTTTTCGCCCCCTACAGAATAGAAAAATGAAAAAATCATAGTTATTTATTAAACAAGGGAAAAAAAGTAGTAGATTTTAGCTCCAGGTACGCTACGCGTCGGGAGACAAAAGACCGTGAACTAAAATCTAATATTTTTCCCCTGTCTAATACACTTTTTTTTTCTGTGACAGAAAGAAGGACGAATCAATATTGAGAAGATATTACATTATTTTGAAATCTGAAAATTATCGACGTGAAATTTTAAGTTTTTAACAGTAAGGACACCTGCGTTGTATGCATCGTTATCATTCTTTTGAAGTAATCAAATTCTAATCTGATGTCCCTTCTGTCAGTCTAACTCTGTGATTTGATTTCAAAAAATTGCGAATTTAGTGGTTGTTTAGTAATATACGTAACCGCGAAGTCGAATGGAAGATAAAAGGACTTGCAGTTCTTTCTGGAAGACGGTATTATTGACTCATTTTTCGAAACTATAGCACAACAAAAGCCATCAACAGTGTATATATATGTGATATATATCCGGGAAAAAAGTAATTCATGAAAAGTGACATTTTATAACCTGCCAACAGAGATGGAATGCCAAATTTTTTTCCCGTCACAGAAAAAAAGATATTATTCTTCTCGAATTGTCTTCTTATTCCAATATCGACACTTTTCAGTGACATATGTTGATGCGGAAAGTTATTCTTTCCCGAACGCGACTGCCGTTGACACGAACGACGCGAAGCGGAGTTCGGGCAAGCAGTCGAGTGCATGAAAGACACTTTCCGCATGAGTTAGGAACAATATTTTTTCTACAAGCGTAATTAAACTGGATATTTTTTGACGTTTATAGGTAAAATGACTTTCACATTCAACTTAATCAGATTACGTCAAATCCATTCAATATGAGTTAGCTAAATGAATTTATAAAAAACTGAGACATTTAGCTCATATCGACTTATTTTGTATTATTTCTATTAACTAAAGTCATTTGAATATATGTTATTGGAGCGAATAATATTACGTGAGCATATTTCATGAATACTAAATAGTACATCGAGTTTCTTGTCTGAAAATATATTTCTACAAACTTAGTGAAATGAATTTGTTAAAAACAGTTTTCTTCAACCTAACTATGTTATGGGTGTGAATTTCAACTATGATACTACAAATTGCTTCTGAGTTCCTCGTAACTAAATAAGTTTCCACCAACTTTAGTGGAATGAAGTTAGTCAAGAATATTGTTTTGAACTACCACCAGTTGCCTTATCAATATTTTGCGTAACTAATGTCGGTATAATGCATTTTATTTAGCGTAATATTATCCTAGCATTGAAAAAGATATATTTATGCACACAAAGAAATTGATATATAAATAAAGAAATACATTGAGAATTCGCATTATCCATGTGATGAAAATAATAATTCTATCTCGGTTTATTCAACAGAAAACAACTACTTTTCTGGCTATATGCCACGACGAATATTGAATTACATCTATTGAACACACACGATGAGATTTTGAAAACAAAATCTTCTGAAGTAGAGAATTTGCATTCTCCTTCATATAAAGATATGCATATAATATCATTCTGAATATTCAACAGAAAACGACTATTTTCCTGGCTATTTGCCACGTCGAATATCCAGAAAGAGAGCATGAAATTGAGAATTGACATTATCTCTCAAATCGAATAGCATAATACGATGTATTATGATATAAAAATATAACTCACCAATATATATAGTATTGAAATGAGAATTGAAATGCATAGTAGAAATAGACTTGTATGAACTCTGATCTTTATGAGCTTGGAACTTCCAAAAAAAAAATCATTCGTATCAGTGATATGGGAATTATATCTCTCACAAACAGGTTATTTTACTAAACTCGAGTAAAACTCATTACAGAATTTCTTTCCACGTCCTGTATGATGAATGTCAATTTGTCATACATCCAAACTTTCAAGATAATAATAATTTGAGATATTATAAGTGAGTATTTGCTAGCAAAGACATTGATAATATTGATCCTCTTTCTTCCCTACATCGTTTGACCCCTCTCAATGCGATGGTTCTGAAATAAAAGAAATTTCCGCTTGTCACCTCAAGTGTTCAGCAGTTTATTCTACTAATGAACGTGTGAAAATACTGACTATCAATACAAATAGGCACGAACCACAAAGTATTATCACTAATGAATTAGCAATTCGGTTCACAAAATGATACGGTTAACATTTTCCAACACTGCAGCAAGATAATCGAAATCAAGTTCTTCGATATCACTAACCAGTATTTTTAGTCGAACCGGAATCAGTGCGAGTTGAGGTGTGACCCCAAATGGTAACACAATGGCCAATCTACCTACCTTGTACGAATACTACACTGGGAACGGCATCACTCAAGGCTTATCGGTCGATCAGCCTTACTACACCCTCAACCACAAGAATTTCTCCCTCTACGGTGGGTCCCTGCACTATTTCAGGGTGCCCCCGGAATACTGGAGGCTCCGGATGAGGCAAATGAGGGCTGCTGGACTGAATACTCTGGATACCTACGTGCCTTGGAATCTACATGAACCCCAACCAGGTAAACGATCAAGAGGCCAAATTAGATACTGAAAAACTCGTTATTTTGAGATACACTTCGGAATCCTCAGTTTAAATTAGAAATCGCGAGTTATGATTAGTAATTCCGACTTAGAATTCCAAATTTGGGAATAAAATAAAGTGTCGCACTTTTCTACGTCCTCATAGATATGATTTTTGACACGAAAGAAGTTTTGCATCACAAAAAATATGTCAATCAACTTGCAAAAATGCCTGAAAATTGCAAAAATTCCTGAAAATTGCAAAAATGCCTGAAAATTTGCAAAAACTCCTGAAAATTGGAATAATTCCTGAAAATTGCAAAAATTCCTGAAAATTGCAAAAATTCCGGAAAATTGTAAAGATTCCTGAAAATTCCTGAAAATTGCAGAAATCGCAAAAATTGCAAACATTCTTGAAAATTGCAATGATGGGTTTGAGCAAAAATACTGTTTAGATGTGCCTGTATTTCTGAAACCCTTCATAGGCATCCTATGAAAATACACATATGTGGGTTTGAAACCATGAATAATAATATCATGAGGTCAGTTTTCCTGTGAAAAAATTGCAAAAATTCCAGAAAATTGCAAAAATGCCTGAAAATTTGCAAAAATTCCTGAGAATTGGAAGAATTCCTGGAAATTGCAAAAATGCCTGAAAATTTGCAAAAATTTCTGGAAATTGGAAAAATTCCTGAAAATTGGAAAAATTCCTGAAAATTGCAAAAATTCCGGAAAATTGTAGATTCCTGAAAATTCCTGAAAATTGCAAAAATCGCAAAAATGCCTGAAAATCGCAAAAAAACAAAAATTGCAAAAATGCCTGAAAATTGCAAAAATCGCAAAAATTCCTGAAAATTGCAGAAATAGCGAAAATTGCAAAAATTCCTGAAAATAAGAAAAATTTCTGAAAATTGCAAAAATCGCAAAAATTCCTGAAAATTGTGAAAATTTCAAAAATTCCTTGCATTTTTGCAATTTTCAGAAATTTTTCTAATTTTCAGGAATTTTTGCAATTTTTGCTATTTCTGCAATTTTCAGAAATTTTTGCAATTTTTGCAATTTTCAGGAATTTTTGCAATTTTTGCAATTTTCTGGCATTTTTGCGATTTTTGAAATTTTCAGGAATTCAGGAATTTTTACAATTTTCCGGAATTTTCGCAATTTTTGCAATTTTCAGGAATTTTTCTTATTTCCAGGAATTTTTGACATTTTTACAATTTTCAGAAATTTTTCCAATTTTCAGGAATTTTTGCAATTTCTGCAATTTTTGCAATTTTCAGGAGTTTTTGCAATTTTTGCAACTTTCAGGAATTTTTGCAATTTTTAGGAATTATTGCAATTTTTGCGATTTTTGCGATTTTCAGGAATGTTTCCAATTTTTAGGAATTTTCGAAATTTTCACAATCTTCAGTAATTTTTCGAATTTTCAGGAATTTTTGCAATTTTCAGGAATTTTTGCAATCTTCAGGAATTTTTGCAATTTTCAGGAATTTTTGCAATTTTTGCTATTTTTGCTATTTCTGCAATTTTCAGGAATTTTTGCAATTTTTGCAATTCTCAGGACTTTTTGGAATTTTTGCACTCTTCAGGCATTTTTGCGATTTTTGCAACTTTCAGGCATTTTTGCGATTTTTGCTATTTTCAGGAATTTAGGAATTTTTACAATTTTCAGGAATTTTTGCGATTTCTGCAATTTTGTCAATTTTCAGGAATTTTTGCAATTTCAGGAATTTTTGCAATTTTCAGGATTTTTTGCAATTCTCAGTGATTTTTGCAATTTTTGCTATTTTTGCAATTTTCAGGCATTTTTGCAATTTTCAGGAATTTTCAGGAATTGTTGCAGTTTTCAGGAATTTTTGCGATTTTTGCAATTTTTACGATCTTCAGGAATTTTTGCGATTTTTGCAATTTTCAGGAATTTTTGCAATTTTCAGAAATTCTTCTAATTTTCAGGAATTTTTGCTATTTCTGCAATTTTCAGGAATTTTGAACCAAGAGGACTAAAACTAATCATTTCAAGTGTCTCCCTTGATAATAAAATTGACCTGTTTTTTCGATTTCTCCTATTATTCACTGAAAGGAAGAAATTGAGGGTGTGAAGTTTTCAAAATGTCACCCTGTATGTTTCCCCTATTGAAAAAACTATTTTTTTCCTCAGGGATGTACGACTTTGGAGAAGGAGGTACAGACATGGAAAAATTCCTGAACATCGAGAAATTCCTGAGGACCGCCCAAGAAGAAGACTTGTTCGTGATGTTGCGTCCAGGTCCATTCATATGCGCTGAATTCGAATTTGGTGGCCTACCCAGCTGGTTGCTGCGAGAGGAAGGCATCAAAATCAGAACCTCCGACGAGAAATTCATGTCGCACGTACGAAGATACTTCCATGTGCTCCTCACCCTGATAACCTCCCTCCAATTCACGCGGGGAGGTCCAATAATAGCCATCCAGGTCGAAAACGAGTATGGCAGCACCGAAAACCCGAAGAGCAAACCACCTTCGGTTCCCGACAAGAGATACTTGATGGAGCTTGTGCAGCTGATGCTGGATCATCAAATAAAAGAGCTGCTCTTGACTTCAGACTCCCCTTTAGCTCACGGCGACATTGGTTCTCTGCATACACTCTTCCAAACTGCGAATTTCAACCAAGACGTGAAAGAACAGTTTCAAGCTTTGAAGAAACTGCAACCAAATAAACCATTTCAGGTAACTGAATATTGGTCCGGATGGTTCAGTCACTGGTCAGAGAATTCATACGTCGGGAATGCCTCTCAATTTTCGGAGCTTTATGAAGAAATCTTGAGATATCCAGCATCTGTGACTCTGTATATGTTTCATGGTGGCACGAATTGGGGGTTCTTGAACGGAGCAAATCTAGCAACTTTACCTCCCGGTACCCAAGCAACTTACGAACCGGATATAACCAGCTATGACTATGATGCACCTTTGATGGAATCTGGAGATTACAACCAAAAATATTTCGTGGTAAAGGATCTACTAGAAAAATATAATGCAGTAAAGACCAAACTGCCAGATATGCCGGTACTACCAAAACGAGAAGCGTACGGTTCTTTAGCAATAACTAAATATTTGTCTTACGATGATATAATGAAGCAACTGCCACATAAACTGGAAAGTCAGCAATTGCTGTCCATGGAAAACTTGTCTATCAATAATAACACTGGACAGCAATTTGGATACATAGTTTACCGTAAAACACTGGTACACATCAAACAAGTATCAGTTCTGAAAATAAACGGTTATGTTACTGACACTGTCAATATTTACATCAACAGCAAATTGATCACTGAAAATATTGCCGATTTGAATGGTTTTGGTTACTGGAGGCAACGAGATAGCTACATAGTTTTGAATACAACAATAGAAGATGCTACTATTGACCTAGTGGTTTGCAATATGGGGAGAAACAACTTTGGGTCCTTAGATCAGTTCCTTCAGTTTAAGGGACTGTGGCAAAGTGTGACACTTGATGGTGAAGAACTAATAGACTGGGAAATCTTTCCTATGGAATTCAAGAAGTCGTGGATACAAAGTTTGAATGGTTGGCGCGATAACAATGGTCCACCCAATGTAACGGGTTTTGGGTTGTATAAAGCAGAAATTGAGCTGGAAGATCTTCATGATACTTTTATAGACATGAGTATGTGGAATAAAGGTATCGTTATTATCAATGGATTTGTGCTAGGGAGATATTGGAGAATCGGTCCGCAGCTGAGTCTATATTTGCCAGGACCACTATTGAAACTTGGTAGGAACGATATCATCGTATTCGAAGAATTCTTTCCGAAGGCAGAAATTAGTTTTGCTAGTGATCCAGTAGTCAAATCAAAGTGATAAATACTGTTTATGAAGATAATCATCTGAATGATAATTATAGTATTTACAAAATGAGAAGAATTATTTCAGCAATCACACCTTTTTCCCTTCTGTTAGATGAAACTGATCCTGAACTGGAAAAGAAAAAATACTGAAACATTATACAGATCAGACACTTTCACTGAAATAAATTCGTTTATGGGGAGGTGAATCATTTTTCTGAAAATTCGCGAGACACGACAACGTTTTAATGTATAATTTATCTACATTTTGTGAATATAGCCCATCATGGGTAGTTGAAATCAGCTCCGACATGTTTTTGTCAAATGCAAGCCTATGGTTTGTGACCCCTGATTGGTATGCTGCTTGAAAAAGGAATCCAGCGTACTGATGATAATAATAATAATAGTAATAATATTTATTTCATATCTAACAGGTTCAATGTAGGTACCTGAAAATGAACAGAAATAAATATAGACAACCCATAAATGGTTGCCCTCGAGCATGGGTATTGATAGATAAATGAATGATAATCAAAAAGAAGTTGTTACTCGTTTCAAAACATTGAGCAAAGATAATGATGGTTCTCGTTCTTGTTAAGTATGGTATATTGAAGAGTGATAATTTTATAAGGAAGAATATAAATCAATATGAATATATCAATACTTCCAGTCATAATAACAACAATAATCAGATTTTGATTTGAAGTACGTTTATGGGTTGCATAAAATCAAAATATAATTTGAAAGTTCAATATATCTCCAGCGTATTTTCATTAAAATTCTGATTCTTAGCTACAGTCATATATACAGGGTGTTTCATAATTGAATGCTGATCTTTAAGGGCGATAATCCTTGAATGATTTCAAAGAGAAAAGTTCAAATCAACATATGTCCTAAAGCTCTCAGTTATTGAGCTACAGGGTGATGAAGTTTCAAGAAAAGAATGAGTTTTCCATCTTAATTTTTTATCACTCTCAGATATTGTTATGATATTTTGTATACACCTTTTCATTATTAAGGAGCATTTCTTTACGTGAAAAAAATTAAAAAATTCTCACCAGTGGCGTCCGTACGGGGTTTGAACTGACAATTTTTGAAGAAAAAAATAGTACGCCACTGATTTTTCTGAGAACCAGATTTTTTTTTCAATTCTCATTCATTTTGGAGCAAATTTGGTTCCTAGACTTACTTTCATACAAAGTACCGTTTTCGCGTAAAAAAATAAAAACCAAAGAATTTTGTTCCTTCAGTTCTTGGATATTGTTTTTGGTAATTCAGTAGACACCCACTATAAGTGGAAACACATTTTGTTTTGAGACGAAAATCAAACTTTTACTTTCACCAGTGATGTCCTCGTAGACCTGATATTGAATGTTTAGTTTAAAAAAACGCTGTACGCTTCTGATTTCAACACCCTGTAGCTCAAAAACTAAGAGGTTCAGGACATATGTTGATATAAACTTCTCTCCTTAAAATCATCCAAGGATCATCGCCCTTTAGGATCAGCATTCAAGTATGAAACACCCTGTATGAAGCATTTTTACAAGTTTGCAATAACATTTCGTTTCGAACTTTGAACTGTGTCTATGAAAACACGGGCATACAATAGCAGATAGCATTTATGGCCGAAAATTGTAATGAATAATTGTTCAATACACATTTTGAGCAATTGTTACATTAAAGAAAAATTGAATTTTGGCATTACATTCTAATTTTCTGCAACCCTAAAACGAACATTTTATCAGTACGCTGGACTCCTCTTTCCATTCAGCTTTTCAAAGAAGTCTCACAAGCCTTTGAGTTTCAATTGAAAAAAACATTTTTAGGGGGGTTTCAGCTCGAGTGACTTCATGAATAGAGTGACGACAATAGTAGTACACTTTTTGATTGGTCAGACCTCTAATATGGAGGTGCATCCACGTGTCTTATTTTCTATATTCAGTCCTACGCATTCTATTTCACTTTTATTCTTTGTCTCTGTTTTTTACTCTTTGGACACGAAACATCTAATAATCAGACCTGAAACTCGAAACTCTATACGTCAGTACCTTGGATATTAACTATTAAAATTCGTATTTTAGGACTCGTAAGTCTCAGATTATTTAGATGATAATTTGAAAAAATCATAAATCTAAACTTTTAGATGGACACTTCGAAGGAGCAAATTTATTTCTAAATGGGAGATACCCTTCAGATTTCCAGCTATTCAGTGACTTGATCACGAATGACATTCCAGAAACGGCAGTCATTTGGAGGCCTATTGTCGTGATTCTATTCAATCTACCCACTCCAGTTTCATCATTCCCTGCAGGAATATTTTTTGTTTTCATGTTCTGGTTCCCACGAAAAGGGATATCCTGTAATGTTCAGAGAACATCGTGATAATCAAGGGAAATAAAGTAGGAATTGGTATTCTTCTTGAATTTCTGGAGGTTATATGCCTCGGGGAACACCTCCCTTGGCAATGTGTTCCATAGCCTCGCTGTTCGTTGGATGAACGAGTCTTTGGAAAGAGATGTTCTGCAAGTCTCCAATAGAACGGCAAAGCTCTGGAATTATTTGCCGATAGTAGTATCAAATTCCCAAAAACTTCCCTGTCCACCCTGTATGCATAAAGACAGATAAAGGTAAGTAATGAGTTTCACCACAAGGATTGTACGAATATATTTCATTTACGGAAGATATTTTCAGAAGGAATTTGTCATATTGTTGAAGTGAATGGGAACATCAGAGAAAGCTAATTCATTTTTTGGTGAGAACTCATCAAATATAATTATTTCATTCTTGCCTATATTGAGCAGAGGTGCAGGAAGGTATAAGCTCTGTTGTGGCCCAATTTTCCAATGACGTCCCAAGACGAAGCCATTCACAATGGCAATTCCTTTATTCCATCCGGTCATATCGATAAACGTATCGTGTGTATCCAGAATGATCAATTCGAATTTGTTCAATCCAGCTCCAACTGAGGGGCTTGTTGAATTATCTGAATCTCGCCATCCTTTCAGATTTGTATTCCAAGCCTTGGTGAATTCCAGCGGCATTATCTTCCAGTCAAATATCTCTTTGTCATCTATCAGGACACCTTCCCATAACCCTCTGAATTGCTGGAACTGCGACAAGTCACCGAAATTATTCCTGCCCATGTTGCAAACAACCAAGTCGATAGTTGCATTTTCAATTTTTTCGTGGGAACTCAAAGATATGCTCCCGTCTTTGAGCCTCCAGTAACCAAACCCATCCAGATCCACAACGTTTCTTGTAACCAGTACGTTATTGACGTATACATTCAGAGAATCATAGACGTAACCTTTGATTTTAAGCAAAGATCCCTTGTTGATTGTTATAGATTCTTTACGATAGATGATGTAACCAAACTGCTGCCCAGTGTTGTTGTTGATTGGTAAGTTCTCCATAGCCAGAAGATCCCGGCTGCTCACAGTGTGTGGTGCTTGGGCAATTATATCTTCATAGGAAAGGAATTGTGTCGACACCAGTGTAGAAAATGCCCTTGGTTTGGATGAGACTGGTTCCTCTGGTAACTTAGTCTTGATAGGATTATACTTTTCCAAGAGATCTTTAACCAACCAATACTTCTCAGTGTAATCCCCACTCTCTGATAAAGGTGCATCGTAATCGTAGCTGGTGATGTCAGGTTGATACGAAGATTGCTCTACAGAATTCATATTGGCTCCGTTCAAGAACCCCCAATTAGTTCCTCCATGGAACATATATAAATTCACAGATGCAGGGTACCTTAGGATAGTCTCGTAGATATTTGCAAAGTTTTGAGCATCTCCAACGTATTGTTTTTCGGACCAGTGGTTGAACCAACCCGACCAGTATTCTGTTGCCATGGAGGGTTTGTTAGGCTGCAACTCCTTCAGCTTGTTGAACTGTCCCTCAGGATTCGTATTGAAGTTTGCGGTTTGAAACAGAGTGGGCAGTGATCCTACACTACCATGATTAGTCGGGGTGTCTGAAGTAAAGAGAAGCTCTGTTATATTATTAGTGAGCATGAGTTGTCTGAGTTGCTCGAGATACACGGAATCTGGTATGGAAGGCGGATTTCCATTTCTATTTTCAGTGTTGCCATATTCGTTTTCTACTTGCACGGCGATAATTGGTCCGCCTTTTGTGAATTGAAAGACAGACAATAGGGTGAGAAGGGTGGTGAAGTATCTGCGGACGTGCATCATGAATTTTTCGTCAGAGGTCCGTATTCTTATCCCTTTTTCCCTCAACAACCAGCTGGGCAAGCCACCAAATTCGTATTCTGAGCAGATGTAAGGGCCAGGACGTAGGATAACGAACAGGTCTTCTTCTTGAGCTATCTTGAGGAATTTTTCGATGTCCAGGAAGTCTTGCATATCTGTTCCGCCAGCTCCGAAGTCGTATTTTCCTAAGATAGAAAGTCAAATAATTTGCATTTACAATAAGAGCATCAGAGAATCATGAGTGATGATTGAAACATGTCAACTACGAATTGATTGTTGATAATTTTACCTGGTTCTGGTTCATGCAAATTCCATGGTACGTAAGTTTCGACAGTGTTCAGACCTGCTGCTCTCATTTTCCTCAGCCTGTCTCTCCAATACTCGCTGGGAACACGCCAATAATGTGTGGATCCACCATACAGAGTGAAGTTTCTGTTATTCAATGTGAAATAGGGTTGATCTGCTGACAGACCTTGGGTAATACCACCTCCCGTGTAGTATTCGTAGAGAGTTGGTAAAGTTGCCATGTTTGGGAGTACCTAACCAACTGCAAGGTCTCTAGGTGTTGAAACTGTCGCTCTGAATGATCAATCATTTATATAGATTAATCAATTCAATATCTGCTACATGTGATCGAACAAATAATATACTTACTTATACAATGATAATTCACTGTACAATTGAAATATGTACCATAGTAGTGGGGCTTATGGCAGATAAATGAATACATTGAATGAGGAACTTTTATTCTGATAATAATGATATCGTGACCGTGGAACATATTATAAAAGATAAATAACAATTCCACCCCAGCTTGTATTTCTCATTTAGAAAAAAAAAAAACAAGTGATGCTATAATGACATTTTGAAAAAAAAAATCTCATCCCTCATAAGACTTATTTTTCAACTCTTGCTTTTCATGGTCCTGATTTGTTTTCATGGAAAAAAATAACATGCTTCGGAACTGATGAAATTTGTGGAATGAATGTCTTCCCACTCACTGCATTATTTTTCACAAGAAATCAGCATTTCTTATCAAGAACAGAGAAACAAGATATGGTTGGAACCTTGTAATATCTTCTGTTATTCGCAGACACTATTTAAGCCATTGCATGCAAGAGCAGAGAGTAGAATGAATGTGGAAAACATATATACTTGATATATTGAAAAGTTGGAATAAGTATGTATATTTGTACTCATTCACTTCACAATACAGGTACATACGATGGATATACTATTTTCTTCGGTAATGTAGGAAGACTACAAGAAACATCAATATTTTCATAGGCGTCTCTACTATAATCTATAGAAAACAAGAATAATTGATCAATCAAGATGATAATAATTTATCCAGGCACGTGTGGGTAGTCATGTTGTTCAAAATCAATTATCAGACGGTTGATATATAGGTATATGTTTATTTCTCCTGTTTGATCAAGATAAAAAGCAACAGAATGAAAATAAGTATAAAATAAAGATTTTTCTGGTGTTGAGTTGGGAATTCGGTCGAAATGTTGGCTTTCCGGGTTTAAAAAATCCACCCTGAATGTAAGTACCTATCAATGTTGTTTTCTGTAAAGTGTGAGTAGTGTTTTATTTTCAACGATATTAATTTACATAACTTATTTTGCTTTTATCAAAACCCCTCATTTTAAAATATCATCTTAATATGAATGTTCTTGTTTTTACTTCAGTGTCCTGAAGATGGAACAATTAAGTTTCGAAACGTCGACAATTTAAAAATTGGTTTTCTTCAACATTTCGACCGAATTCCCGCCAACTCAACACCAGAAATCATATTCAACGGTCGCCATTCTATTCAACTATAATATAATGGTTGGTTCCAAAGTTGAAATGAAGTGGATTATAGAAAACAAAAAACAAAACGAAATGAGAGTACAATTTTGTCGAGAAAAGTAGTCTGGAATTTGGAAGTTTTCATAACTTATTTATTAGTGGTATCTGCCGAACCCGAGCATTTGCTTTCGGTGAATTCAGAAGCCGTAGAAACATGAATTATTTTTGCAATGTTTCCAGACGTTCAATAATTGGAAGATGTGGTAGGTGATGGAGATGGAGATGGAGAGATTTTTCGTTGTAATAAAATAATTTTTTCGTGAAAAATTAAATCTTGTACGCACCACGAGTGTTACTAGATCCTAACGCACTTGATACATAAATAACTATTGTGAACCACTTATTTGAGGAACAATAAAAAAATAAACATTATAGTTATGAGAAATTCCTTTCTGAACCCATATTTCCATATCAGATTGAACTGTATATCCTAAAGTTATTTGAAAGCTGAGTGAAGTATTTTCATCTTAATACTGAGATCACATGTAATGTTGTTAATTCCATAATCACTAGTAGAATGGGAATCAAAAAGAATTCGTCATATTGTTGAAGTAAATGGGAATATCAGAAAAGGTCAATTCATCATTCGACAGAAACTCTTCAAATATGAGGATATCATTATTTCCCATCTTGAGTAAAGGAGCTGGAAGGTATAAGCTCTGCTGTGGACCAACTTTCCAATAACGTCCCAAAACGAAGCCATTCACAATGGCAATCCCCTTATGCCATTTACTCATATCTATAAACGTATCGTGTTTATCCTCAACAAATAACTTAAATTTGTTCAATCTAGCTCCAATTGAAGAACTTTTCGAGCTACTCGGTTTATGCCAACCTTCGAGATTTGTATTCCAAGCTTTGGTGAATTCTAGTGGCATTATCTTCCAGTCAAACAGCTCCAGGTCATTCAAAAATACACCGTTCCATATTCCTTTGTATTGTAGGAAGTTCGTCAATAGACCAAAATTTTTCCTGCCCAAATTGCAAACCACCAGGTCTATGGTTGCATTTGCCAAGTCCTCATCGAAATTCAAAGTTATACTCCCATTCTTGAGAATCCAATAACCAAACCCTTCCAAATCCACAACATTCCTAGTGATCAGTTTATTATTAACATACACATTCAGAGAGTCATACACATATCCTTCTATTCTGAGTAAAGATCCTTTGTTGATAGTGATAAATTCTTTACGATAGATGATGTAACCAAACTTCTGACCAGTGTTGTTATTGATTGGTAAGAATTCCATAGTCAGAAGATCCTTACTGGTAATAGTGTGTGGTGCTTTGGCTATGATATCTCCAAAGGATAGAAAATTCGTCAGACTGAGTGATGAGTATGCCTTTGGTCTGGATGAGATCGGCATATCTGGCACCCTGGTTTTAATCGGATTATACTTGTCCAAAAGATACTTTACAAGCAAATATTTCAAAGTGTACTCCCCACTTTCTGTTAGAGGAGCATCGTAATCGTAGCTAGTGATGTCAGGCTTGTATGCAGACTGCTCTACGGAGCCCGCCATATTGGCTCCGTTCAAGAAACCCCAATTAGTGCCTCCATGGAACATGTAGAGATTCACAGACGCAGGATATTTGAGGATCGCCTCGTAGACATTCGCGAAGTTCAGAACATCTCCAATGTAATGGTCCTCGGTCCAGTGGTTGAACCAACCTGACCAGTATTCCATTGCCATCGATGGTTTACCAGGCTGCAGTTGTTTCAGCTTGTTGAACTGACTCTCAGGATCCGAGTTGAAGTTAGCTGTCTGGAATAAACCAGGAAGAGATCCTACGCTACCATGCTTAGTAGGGGTATCTGAGGTGAATAGCAGTTCTGTTATATTATTGGTTACTAAGAGTTGTCTCAGTTCATGAAGGTACACCGTGTCTGGTAAGAAAGGAGGATTTCCTTGCGGATCTTCAGTGTTGCCATACTCGTTCTCTACTTGCACGGCTATTATTGGCCCTCCGCTAGTGAATTGGAAAGCTGTTAACAGGGTGAGAAGAGTAGTGAAGTATCTGCGGACATGCATCATGAATTTTTCATCAGAAGTCCGCACTTTGATACCCTTTTCTCTCATCAACCAGCTGGGCAAACCACCGAAATCGAATTCCGAGCAGATATAAGGGCCAGGACGTAGAATAACGAAGAGGTCTTCTTCTTGGGCGGTTTTGAGGAATTTCTCGATGTCTAGGAAGTCCTGCATATCCGTTCCACCAGCTCCAAAATCGTATTTACCTACGAAATAAAGCGCATGTTATGATCTCCAATAATGACTTGAAAAGCTGTGAATATTCTTCTTCCATCAGATAATTCAAGATCATATAACCCCTATTGAACCATCATTGTACCAGTATATCACCTGACGAAGCTACTATGTTAGCGAAACATGTCGTGTGTTTGAGAATTTTGTGGAAATCTTATCGTTCGTGGAGTTTTTACATTTGAAAAACAGTAGGTGAGAATCGAGCATAAAGCAAGCACTTTTATATTCAGAGGCGCGAAGCGCCGAAGGATATCATGTGCGAGCTATATGATAGCATTCTCACATGAGGTATATCTATATACAATATTTTTTCCACTACTTACACTGAAAAATCAAAAAATGTTATCAATTCAGATTCTCATTTCGTTCCAGGATATTACTAAAATTTTGATATATCAAGTATAGCCTGAGAGTTCAATTGTCAAACAAACTGAAAAGAAAATCGACTTGGCTGTCAAGAAACACATGGTGTATTGAAATTCCGGGTGAACAGCTACAAAACCGGGTGAGAATTAAAGTGACATTCAATTTGATAAGCTTGTGCCTCTGCATGAAGTAAGGAAGGATACTGATGAATATCGCCAGTAGATATCAAAAATACAGTTTTCAATCGAATGTTTTGGAATATTTGAACCTTATGAATATCGCACATGATACCATGTAACAATTATTGAACTGGTTCATAATAATATATCATATCGTATCGACTCCCATAACTGAAATTGTTTTGAATGGTCAAAAAGTGTGTCCCTACCGAAAGTCCTGGGTATTTGAATTCTTGGTCTAATTCACGAAAAATATCTCTTCTGCATGACAGAAGCAAGTACTTTCTACCTACCTTGTCCTGAATTAACCTATTTCCTAAAAAGTATATCTTTCAAATATCAATTGAGTGAAAAAAAGTTAAAAAAAGATTGACGCCTCGCAGGGATTGAACCCCAGTCATTAAATTGGAAGTAATATACACAGAAACACTAAGCTATCGCTTTACTCGTAGTAGTCCTAGTTTCTCAATATAAAGAAGGAAGAAATATCATGTGTTGCGGGCATAGAAATAATAATTATTTCTATGGTTGCGGGTGACATCACTTGACCTCGATGTTTGAAGATTCGCTGGTCTAGCTAGACGCTTGTATTCACACATGACAGTGACAGCTCACGTATGATTTGGATTTGTGTTGTGACATTTTCAGAATTGATAATTATAACATTATCCCAAACATTTTTCATACTTCAAAAATTGCTTTCAGCTGTAATGAGATTTGTAGTTTCAAATATATTTGGTTTCAAGAATGTTTCATATTCCGTTGGTTGCATACGCATCGGAATCTTCATGTGTATATTGCATAATAGCATTGACACTATTGACAGTTCTTTTCTTCCTAGTTGAATTACTTTATGAACTCATTATCAATTACCTAGGTTCAAAAAGTGTTCTTATGAGAGGAATTCCTCGAATAATGGTGATTTCTCAGGTTAGTGGTGGAGAAAATGCAATATTCACCTTGGTAGTAAAGAATGATATTACCACAGGACGGCTGAAGCCCCTGGATATAATCTTTGTCCCTATAGGTAATTCTGATATTCTTTACCACCTTGGTGAAACGCTCATTCAGTATGGGTAAACTAGCTACGGTATTCCAGGCAGAGGTAAACACCATTAAAATTTGTGCAAGGGAGCTGGAAAATCGACACCACACACGAAGAACAATAAAGATATTCTCAGCACTGGAAGCACTTGAATCCAACTGGTATAAATCCAGAGAAGTATGGAACTGCAGAGAAACCTTAATCCGACTGGCACAACGCAATAACGTTTACCAAGTCTGGATACCAGGTCACACGGGCCTAGAAGGGAACGAAATAGTGGACGTCCTAGCAAAAGAGGGGGGGGAAACATCGTTCACTGGGCCAGAACCGGTAATACATAGCACTGTCAAAAATGTTATAACATCCTGGGCCGACAAAAAAAACCGAGTATTGGCGTAGTGTACCGGGCCTAGCCCATTCCAAAGCATTCATTGCTTGTACAAAGAAGAAACAGGACTCTGAGAAACTACTAGAACTCAGTAGAGCACATCTCAGAGGTATAGTAGGTTTGCTCACTGGCCACTGTAAACTCGAACACCACATGCACAAAATCGGACTTGCACAAGATGCAGAGTGCCGTCTATACATGGAAAAAGCTATCAACATCGAGCTCATGAAATACCTGGAACATTCAGGTATTATCATCAGAGATCAACAGGTGACCTGCTCGCTCACGTCTCACATATATGGCAGCAATCTATTGAAAAATATGGTGAAACCTTAGCCGTGACACTTGATATCTCCAAAGCATTCGATCGAGTCTGGCACCACGGACTCCTCGCCAAGCTTCCATCTTATGGCTTGCCTCCCCAGCTATGTTCTCTGCTAGCTAGTTTTCTCTCAAAAAGGTCTCTCCATGTAGTGGTCGACGGAGTTTCATCTGACTCTCTTACCATAAATGCTGGTGTTCCGCAAGAATCAATTCTAGCACCAACACTATTTCTACTCCATATCAACGATTTGTTGGGAGCAACTCCATGTTCAGTACACAGCTTCGCGGATGATAGTACCCTCCATACCGCCTTCTCTTCCAGGGCTCCAATACCAGCCAGGCAAATCAGAAACGAACGAGGAAGAAATGTTGACAACATAAATATGGACCTGGCAACAATTCTCGAATGGGGATCCAATAACTTGGTGGATTTCAATGCAAACAGAACACAAGCATGCCTTTTCTCTAGAAAAGCCGATCTCACTGTGCCAAACATAAGCATGTCAGGAGTAACCATACCTTTGAAGACATCCATTTCGATGCTTGGTATTACTATCAGCAATAACCTTTCTTGAGAAAATCACATGAGATCAATTGCTAAAAGTGCATCCCAGAAACTTGGTTTTCTGTTTCGGGCCAGGAGCTATCTCACTTCCAGTCAGCTGCTTATGATCTATAAGGCACATATCCGACCTGTCCTGGAATACCCAAACATACCCTGAAACTGTTGGATTCTGTCCAAAAAAATTCAATTCGTCTCGTGGGTGATGCCTCACTCACAAACTCACTCACTTCTCTGGAACACGTAGAAAAGTTGGCGATCTGGCTCTATTTTGAAATATCAACAATTCTACTTCCCTTGGCAGTCCCCGCGAGATTAACCCGTCGAGTTGAGGCTTCGCACCCCTTCGTGGTCACTTTTTGGAGATCTGCAGAACATGTCTCTTCGAAGACTCGTTCATCCAACGAATAGCGTGGCTCTGGAACACATTGCCAAGGGAGGTGTTCCCCAAGGCATATAACCTCCAGAAATTTAGGAAAAACACCAATCCCTACCTTATTTTCCTTGGTTCTCACGATATTCTCTGAACATTACAGGAAATCCCTTTTCGTGGGAACCAGAACATAAAAAAAAGGAGGATGAAACGGCTGAACACATTTTATGTACATGCCCTGCAGCGGCCAGAATCAGATCTTCAACATTTGGAAATACAACAGTAGGGCCAGAAAACCTGATAATTTGTTCTCCCAATGTACTCCTTAATTTTGCCAAGAGATTAGATATACTGGGAGGAATATAACCATAGAGTGAGAAACAATAGACCATTGGCCGCAGTGGAGGGCCTGACTCACGTTTAAACCTACCCTAACCTACTACTTGGTGTATAACTAACTATTACCTGGTTCTGGTTCATGCAAATTCCATGGTACGTAAGTTTCGACAGTGTTGAGCCCCGCTGCTCTCATTTTCCTCAGCCTGTCTCTCCAATACTCGCTGGGAACACGCCAATAATGTGTGGATCCACCATACAGGGTGAAGTTTCTGTTATTCAATGTGAAATACGGTTGATTTGCTGACAGACCTTGTGTTATACCACCCCCTGTGTAGTATTCGTAGAGAGTTGGTAAAGTTGCCATATCTTGAAAGATTCTATCGAAAGTATACAGTAATACAATATTTTTTTGTAGATAAACGATTATTTATATGGTTGGTTCAATGTATATCTTCCTATGTACATTCAATAATATCATTCAGGATTATTTTCTGAACGTAAATCATGAAGAGGGGTTTATAGTAGAGGGGCATAACCATATAAATTCCATGGGTGCTAAATTGACCCATGATTTTCAAGGATTTGTTTCTCTCATCGATATTAGATCGATATTATTTCAGTATAGAGTTATTTATTATGATACGAACTAAATGGCATTCTTTGCTTTGAGAATATACAAAAGGTGAACCCAAAATTATAAATAATCTTATATGATACCTATATAATCATAGAGTATTCATTTCAAATCTGATTCCATCAAATTTCTTATTCGAATCATGCATTTATATTGACCCTCAATTATTGATATCTCGTGATTGATATAGAGGCGCATCTACTATTATCTGTAAAGAAGCTAAATGCTACAGATAATGCCAGTTACTTGAACAAGTAGGACTTACCTACTCAATTTTTTTATTTACCAGATATCAAATGTATGCTGATCTCAAAATACTTAATCATTATCTACAGAACTATCTATACATAATATCAGTAGCTATAAAAAATGGCACGGATTATAAATTATTATTCATTTGTCAAAACAAAGATAATCATCTGATATGAATTTGAAATGGAATTACCGTTAATCTGGTGGCCCTCAATATGTTTTGCATCACTATATTATTATATTGTATATCTTCTTGGAGATATGCAAGTACCAGAACATTGTAATGAAGAGTTCTGATACAAACGAATATTGTTTGAATACCTAATTGTGATACAAAATTTGAAAATGACAGTTGACAGTTAATACAATTAACAGGCCAGACATGTCTCAAATTACTGAAGCTGTGTTTAATGAATTGTGTTGCCATGGTAATGTGTTTAAGAAATCGTGTTGCCATGGTAACGTCTTTAATATTTTGAATAAATCACAGATCGACCATCCGTGATTAATCGATCATTTAGCAAGGTACATATCCCTACGCTGAATGCCATTTTAGTTATGTGAGTAGAAAATATATTTTCGACAATGCAGTGTGGTCGCTTCTGCTAGAAAGTACCTAGCAGCAACATTAATATTTCGAATGGAACACTCTGAATTTTATCGCATCCTTAGATTCTTCCTGAAGACCTGATTTTATCGATGTTTCACACTTGGGGTCTATCGAGAAAGATTACAGAGATATAGAGTGTTCAAAATCGAGCATTTTAAACTAAAGGATTTTTTTGTGTCGAAACTATTCATTATCGGTCAAAAGGGCTCCAATCTCGACTTTTGATTTACTATTTACTGATATTTAATTGGAACAGATACAGGAGTGATTCAAGATTCAGAATTCTGATCACCCTGTATCTGCTCCGATTAAAAATCAGTAAATAGTGAATCAAAAGTTGAGATAGGGACATGAGAGCCGTTTTGGCCGATAATAAATAGTTTCGACACAAACAAGTCCTAAAGTTGAAAAATCTTGATTTTGAACACCCTATATCTCTGTGATCATTTCCGATAGATCCAAAGTGTGATGTATCGATGAAATAAGCTCTTCAGGATAAATGCAATGAAATACAGTGTTCGAAATAACAAAGTTGTTGCTACTTTTCGATAGAAGCGGCAACAGTGCATTGCTGAAAATATTCCAAATCAAGAGAGCGTATTCTGAAATATAGGCATGCATATTTTTATGGATTCCTCCCGAATAATTCTTGATATAGACATAGTGTAAGGTCGTCGTGAAATACCCTGTATTCTGGAAAAAATTAGGTGTAAACTGAAGTAGAAAAAAGAGTTTTGGATAATTCTGAGACCTGTGATTTCAGGTGTTTGCATAATATGAGATCGTGAAAATATATATTGAAAGTACTATAATAAATTTATACATCTGCCCCTCTACTATAAACTTGTTAACATAGATTCTCATCCACAATATATCTTGTTTCATATTATTTATTGATCTCAGAAGAGATATAAAATGATACCTATATATAAACAAATGATTTACTTCATGGAAAAGTAATGTGTTTGTTGCTCGTATATGCTGCAATACCTTCAACAAAATGGCAACTCTACCAACTCTCTACGAATACTACACAGGAGGTGGTATAACACAGGGGCTGTCTGTAGATCAACCGTATTTCACATTGAATAATAAAAACTTCACCCTGTATGGTGGATCCACACACTATTTTCGTGTTCATAGCGATTATTGGAGAGACAGGCTGAGAAAAATGAGAGCAGCTGGGCTCAACACTGTCGAAACTTACGTACCATGGAATTTACATGAACCAGAACCAGGTAATAGTTATTTGTTTTACTAGGCAGGAAAGTAGCTAATTGACCGCCGAGGCTGATAGTTCATAGCCCAGCGTAGCGATTCTAGAAATTCAGCAGAGTTAGTCAATATACATTTATTATACAGGGTTATGATAAAGTAATGCACAAAATTCATGAAACGTACAACGATCACTTTTGAAAAAAATGCAAAAACAAGTCAAACTGTTCTTCTTATTCCGCATCTTTTGACATGAGTTACAAAAATAACACGTCAAAGTTGTCAAAGTTATGACGTCATCAACAAATTTTTTTAATGGGAAGCTAAGATTTTTATTACATTATGTGAGCCCTATACTGCAACTATTTTTCCCTTGTGTAAAAACACAAGCTCTATCACATTGAAATGAAAATGAAATGAAATGACGAAATCCTGGGAATGTAAGAACATTTTGATTTCCATTGGGCTAAGGCATTGAAAATGTGAGTTTCACTTTTATTTGTGTAAATTATGCGTTGCGAAGTAATTATTTTCGAATGAGTTACATTTGTTGTCAAACTTTCGTTTTTGCTTATAATTTATAGTTCTCTGAAAAAATCTGTGGAAGTGTGAGAAGAATTTTGAATATTTTATGTTTGATACTTGTTTGTATGCTTCAAATATTCCCTGTCACAGTTTACAAAAACTATATACAGGATGAACTTTTTGATAAAAACTAAACTATCGAAATTTTTCATAAACGGTCCTGGATTTTTCCGATTCTGAATAGGTCAGTCGAATAGGGTTTATAGGAGGATTATTCCATGACAAAATCAGACAAATCGAAGGAGCTGTTGAAAAGTTATGACCAAAAGATGTTTTTGTCAAATCTCATAATTCATCCTATATATAAATGAAGAAAAGGAGAAGGCACTCACTGATGGTCATCAGGTATTCTCCTCAAGGGCCTCTATTCGTGGTAGGAGTATGTACAGGGCTAGTTTTATTAATGTGAACGCCCCTCTATCTTTTTTGTTTTCCACCCATTCAAAAAAATTCAGAACTGATTTTATACAATTTTTTGCACAGATTTCACTCATTTTGACAATTATGCAATATCAATTCAAATATACATGGTATACAGAAATAAATATATTCATCAAATGGGACTATTTAATGTCCATATAATTCCAAAATTTTTTATTTTATTTTTGTGAGCTATTCAAACAAGTTCTCTACATATTTTTCGAAGGGAAAATGATGTTCAAAATTGAAATAGAAATACAAATTTCAGGGGCGATCAAAATTCAATAGAGGAGTACCTTATGTTCAAAATTTCGACATTGATCTATAGAAATACTAAAATAAAATTGAAATACTTAAATTATCGATGATATCATTGTCATTCTGAATACAGTTAGAGTCCTACTAAAATAAGACACATAACTAAGTCATAAACATGCAAATTGAAAAAGATGACAATGCCTGTATATCTAGATATAGACGCAATCATACGTATTATATTATATTATATTCTATAGTTACGTAATAACTAACTATACGTCTACGAGACGGGAATCTATCTTCCACTCAAGATATTTCTAAAACTGAACCATATACATAGATCAACTTTAGGGTACTGAATGAGTGCTGGTTGGACATAAATTACGTAGTTGGACATCGGCCGATATTGAAAAGCAGTGGTAATCCAACAAATCGGATGCTGATATGCCGTCTCTGAGACGTATGATTACTAGTTAAGGATTAATAAAACTAGCCCAGTACAGTTCCTCATGACTCACCCTGTATATCCCATATGTCATGTTACTTTCTTTCTCAGGGAAATACGAATTCGGAGCTGGAGGAACGGATATGCAGGAGTTCCTAGACATCGAAAGATTCCTCAAAACAGCTCAAGAAGAAGATCTCTTCGTTATCCTACGCCCTGGCCCTTACATCTGCTCAGAATTTGAAAACGGAGGCTTACCAAGCTGGTTGACGAGGAAAAAGGGCATCCATGTACGCACCTCTGACGAAAGATTCATGGAACATGTCCGCAGATACTTCACCACCCTTCTTACTTTGTTGACAGCCTTTCAGTTTACTAAAGGAGGACCAATAATCGCTGTCCAGATAGAAAACGAGTATGGCAGTACTGATAATCCAACTGGAAATCCACCCTTCAAACCAGATAAAGTGTACATTGAGCAACTGAGACAACTCATGATAACCAATAACATAAAAGAGCTTCTGTTCACTTCAGATAACCCTACACTACATGGTGATTTAGGTACACTTCCCAGTTTGTTCCAAACAGGCAACTTCAACTCGGACACAGAGGCCAATTTCAAGAAGCTGAAGGAGTTGCAGTTCAACAAACCATCCATGGCGATGGAATACTGGCCGGGTTGGTTCGACCTATGGTCAGAGAACCATTACATCGGAGATGTCCTAGGCTACGCTAATGTCTACGATGATATCCTGAAATACCCTGCGTCTGTGAATTTGTACATGTTCCATGGCGGTACCAACTACGGCTTCTTGAACGGAGCTATCATGCGTTCTCTAGTTCAATCTTCGTATCAGCCTGTTACCACTAGCTACGATTACGACGCACCTCTGACAGAAAGTGGGGATTACACTTTGAAGTATTCTCTGCTGAAGTATCTTCTGAATAAGTATAATCCTATCAAGACCAAATTACCAGATATGCCAGTCTCATCAGGACCGAAAGCATACCCAACTCTGAAAGTAAAATACTCCCTTTCCTATGAAGATATAGTTGCTCAAGCGCCGCAAACTATAGACAGTGAAAATCTTGTGGCTATGGAAGACTTACCTATACATGATAACACTGGTCAGAAGTATGGTTACATTATCTACCGTAAAGAATCCATTACCATCAACAAAGGATCAACGCTCAGGATCAAAGGATATGTCTTTGACTCTTTGAATGTATACGTTAATAATAAACTGATCACTAGGAACGTCGTAGATCTTGATGGGTTTGGTTACTGGAGGCTCAAAGATGGAAACATTTCGCTGAGTTCGGACGAAAAAATTGAGAATGCAACTATCGACTTGGTGGTTTGTAATATGGGTAGGCACCATTATGGTTTGGTGAATCCCATTGAACAGCTCAAAGGGCTATGGCAAGGCGTTTTGTTAGATGACGAAGAGATAGTCAACTGGAAGATAATGCCACTGGAATTCTCTAGAACATGGAACAATAATCTAGTAGGTTGGCGCGAATCAGATAGCTCGGAGAGTCCTTCAGTTAGTGCTGGATTGAACAAATTCGAATTGGAACTTGAGGAGAAGCATGATACTTATATCGATATGAGCGGATGGAATAAAGGGATTGTTATTGTGAATGGCTTCGTTTTGGGTCGATATTGGAAAGTTGGTCCGCAGCAGAGCTTGTATCTTCCAGCTCCTCTGCTCAAGATTGGGAATAATGAGATAATTGTGTTTGAAGAGTTCTTCCCGAAGACAGAATTAGCTTTCTCTAAAGTTCCCATCTACTTCAACAATATGACGAATGAACTTGCATGAATTCTTCCGTGAATGAAACATATCATTCCGAATTTTACTTATGCTGATTATTTATATTATTAACTGCATTACCAAAATAAAAAATGATACATAAAAAATCGATAAGGTTTCAATAAAAGTTTCAAAATTTCATATTATATCTTCTTTAGTTGCGGATACATTATTCATCAACCATAACCAACCACATATAATTCCTATGATAATTGGAGAACTTACCAATGTCATATCAGGTCTAGTTCCATGAAGAAGTGCATAGATTGTGAAAATGCCATGTACATCACAAATAATCCACAATGTAGGTACCTACATCTTTCACACATCATTGAATTATTTCTAAACGAATAAATTGTAAAGTATTTTCAATAGTGACTTTGTATTTTTGCATCAAAAGCGAAATCAACGAACTATTCGTGATGATATAAATGTTTTATAGCAGTCAGAAATAATGTACAGGGTGAGTAAGAATAAGATCGACATACTCCGTGTACGGATTCTTAACCAAAATTTGAGGTGAAAAGCTCCTATCAATGATGTAGTCCTGAAATCCATCCTTCCTGAGATACAGGGTGTCAAAAAAAAAGGATCAAATTGAGATTCACATATCAATGGCTTCCGAAACCCTGTAAGAAGAAAATTCAAACTTTATATACTGATCCAGAATAATCAAGTTAAATACTTGGACTCGTCAGTATTGCAATTCATCGAACAGTGGCATAGTTGACTTCGTATGTCTCCTTTCATATTTTTTTAAAGATAGTTGAAATGTCATATTGGTGCGTGACATTATGGTTGGGTTCATTGATACTCAACATAAACGTAATATAACATTCCATATGCCTAAATGTAAAGGTTCCTGAGATATTTGCGGAAAACTAAAGAAATGTCTTGAGATAATATTGATACGTGGTCAATAAAAAAAATCCAATCCATGTTTGTTACTTATATTATTCAACAACTAGTATCTCAAGACATATCTCAATATAAACTGTTGTCTTTGAAATAATGAAATGAAAAATACGTTTTTAGATCTACCTCTGACTCACCCGCACTATGTTCCCGAATGTTCTCAACGTTCAAAAATATTCAGGAGGTTGAGAAATCTTTCTCTCGTTGAAGATCAGCGTTCGGGGCTATGGTACGTCGCAAATTGATTCTTTACTCAATATCAATTCAATATCTTGAGTTTTTCCAAGTTTGATATTTTTTCCTACAAAGGTTCCGAAAAAATTAATATAATTCTAATTTCATTTCGTACTTTCGACACCCTGTAGTATCCTCAAAGATGAAGCATTGTGGGGCATTTGTTGATAGGAACTTTCCACCTTAAAATGAGGTTAGGAATCTGTATTTGATGTTAGTTCGTCTTATTCTGACTCACATTGCGTACTACTTTCGAGAGAGTTCAAAGATTCTGAACTCAGATGAATTTCTTCTATATCAGCAGGTTGCATGGTTAGCATGAATGAAAAAGCACCTCGATCTTCTGTTACTTGATACATAGGATTAACTCAGGCAAAGTTCCCTATTTGATATACAAATGAAAATACATCGAATGAAAAGAAGTTTTCATATTTTCAACATAGGCCCATCTACTATTATCTGTAAAGTATCAAAATAAGATAGACTGGCGTAAACAATGATAATGTCGTACCCACTTGAACAGTCAGTACTCACCTCTTCAATTTGTTTATTTGTAAAGAACTTAACGAACGACAAATTTCTCATAAAACTGTTGATAACAAATATTTCGAGAACTTAGTAGCTTTTTCAAGTGGAATATTAGAATTCGACAAACTCATATATACATACATTGTCTCACTTCTAATGGAAGCAGCACAGGCGAGTGGAGTAATTTTTTTATTTCTTGAATAGAATCATCACTCAAACACCTTTCAATTTCATATTTTTTCTGAAACTTTTGTTCGATTTCAAGGTGCTAAAATCATCAATAATGCTACAGTAATTTTCAGACAGCTAAAAATTTACCACGAGTAAAAACTGACGTCACGATTTCGTAAACATCATAGCACAGTTGCCATATGTTAAAATACGATTGGAACTACATAAACATTAGTTATTCAATGATAATTTATAAATTCTTGATTTTGTATTTGTTATATTCCTAATTAGACATAAAAAATCAATTGCCTCAAAATATTTGCTCATCTGTAGTGACTTATTGCTCATAGTACATTTATATTGATAATAATATCATTATATCAATTCACACTACAAGACATCTGAGGGTTAACGTGACACACGGCGCACGAATTGTGGGCGGTGCCTTGTCAGTTCTCAGCATTCAGCACATTGTTGCCAAGTCTTCAACATCAACATGATATTTTGTAATGGAGGAGATGTTTGGACATGCTGACTGCTCGTCAAGAATGAACTATAATATCATGGCTTCCTCATATTATGTTTTATCTCGTGTTTTATTCAACGACCGGACTCTAATCTTTTTGACAAACTTATTATAATTGGTGACTTGACAACCTTGTTTCATGGGTGGAAATGAAAGATTATCTGACCAATAACGAAAGATCATAAAAACTGACGTCACCATTTATTCGACGTATCGCCAAATGGCGGCCATGAAGGTTAGTTTGAAATGAGCTCTGAAATTCAACAATTTCGAACAACGTATTATTATAAACATAAAAAAAAATTGTTAAAAGTGCAGCAAACATTAATCTAGGTCCCTAACGACCCAGTGAAGTAATTATGAATGCCGATAATTCATTTTTTTTGCAACCGACACAAAAGTCGTCCATTTTGAAACCAAAATCAGCTCTTAAATTGACGTTGCTATTACTGACACAAAAATAGGTATATTGCTAGGCAACATATTTAGTTCCTAGGAGCTAAAGTTGAACTTTAGTTCCTAAGAGCTAAAGTTGAACTTTAGCTCCTAGGAACTAAAAAGGAAGTACTAGACGTCATCAAGAATAAACAACATTGTTATGGTTGGTTATTTGAGTTGAGATGCATACCTGAATTGTTTCCGATCTCGGCAGATTTGGCAATTCATACCCATGCATACACCTTATTATAGTTGAGTATTGGAATCATAAACATCTTAGTCAAGTATTTTTGTTTTGATCAGGGAAGCCTTCAAGATTCAAATACTTGCTGGATCTGTATTTCATTCGTTATTCTCGGGATGGATAACTTGTTTTTGAATAATCACGGCAAGCAATAGTTTTTTGTCTCAAACAACGATATTGTTTAACTTCATTTGATTATCAAGCGAAAAACATTGTATTATGGAGAGGAATAAATAATCGCTATTATTATTGTTGATATACTCACTAACCTAACATTTTCCACGTCTTGTTTCTATAGCTGGCACTGGCGCGATATTTGCCATTAGAGCGTGTCCATACACAAATATGTCACTCTGTGATTGTATTTATATTGAAACTACAATTCGAACATCCTTGAAAATTGAATGAACCTGCTATTGATGCAGGTAGAATGTTCTCACCACACGGATTATTTGTCAATATTTGTTGCATTGCATACATATGGCACGGCATTGGTGGTAACTTCACATATTTATTTCATTCAATTATTTCGGTTGCAGAACAAATAGCATGTTTCATTCGGATCAAAAGTGACTTTGTTCGACTCGCAAATTTTGCTTTCGCTCGGCTTCGCCAAACGCTTCGCCTCGCAAATGCAAAATTCGCTTGTCAAACAAAGTGTCACTTTTAATCCTAATAAAACAATGTACTATTATTATGAGTCCACTCGTCCATTGTTGAGGACCTCAACTTGAGTTAGGATGCTGAAAAATGCTGGGGCGAAAAATATGCCAAATATTCACTTTATGACCGAGTGGGGTCATCCTTAGTGATATACAGTACTCGCCAACCGACATGGAACCACCGACAACCACAAAGATAGGTTGAAAATCACTCAAGATTCGAAATCCGGACATCCAATCAACTTAATATCAATATTTTCCTGAAGAATTCAATTTTGTCTCAATATTCATGGAATCACCCTGTATATAAGTAGGTAATTATTAAGGTAGGACTCTGATATTTGAAGTAGCGCGAGAGATATACCAATGATCAAGTCATATTCAGTGAAGAGATACATTTTTCTTTGATGATGAGAGCTTTGAACTCGAAACTAGTCCGTCTAAAGTATGATTTACATCATAGAATAACTTAAGAGATAACATGAAGTCTTCCGATTTCGTCTATGAATCTATACATATGCCCCTCTACTATAAGTTCATTTACATAGATTTCCATCCGAAATAATTTGTTGTATATTACTGATCAATCATAGAGAAGAGATATAAAACTTAACCATCTGTATATAACCGAGCGGTTATCTATATAAATGAGTAATCATAATAATATTGTTGTTGCCTTTTCATTTAGTGTATGTTTGAATACCTTTACGTGGCGATAACTTTCAAACATGGCAACTTTACCAACTCTCTATGAATACTACACGGGAGGTGGTATAACCCAAGGTCTCTCTGTGGATCAACCGTATTTCACATTGAATAACAAAAACTTCAGCCTGTATGGTGGATCCACACACTATTTTCGTGTTCCCAACGAATATTGGAGAGACAGGCTGAGGAAAATGAGAGCAGCAGGGCTGAACACTGTCGAAACCTACGTACCATGGAACTTGCATGAACCAGAACCAGGTAAAACATAGCTGTACTACCAATTTGATACGTTGATAAATATATGCAGGGTGGAAACTTAACTGGAATGAATTCACTAGCGGAAAGGTGAACGACTTTCCTAGAAAATCTCGAGAAACCTTAACGTTTCAATGTATCTACCTACATGTTGCAAATGGATAACCCATATAGCACTCGACGTCCTGGAGACATCCAGTTTAGGTCCCATTCAGGTCTGAACGTCCGGGACCTGTTCAAGACGTACTGAAAACTTCCATTTCTGGACGTACTGGGTACGTACGATTCCGATGTACTAGGTACGTCGAACTCTGGACGTTATGGACTCTCCGTTTACGGGATTGAATAAATTGTTTAATCATAATCGAAATCATTGCATATATAATTTTTACCCTCGATCTCTGAAATCTATTCATATAGGAACCTTGCAAACATAAACATAATACAATGCTCACAATAAATTCATTATTTACTGGCCTCACCAGATCACAAAACATCGATTTAGGTATTCGCTGCCGTGATTATCTAATTCTATAAAAGTATCGATGTGATGAGTCAATCGGCATTCGCACATAATATTGCTTGTTGTATACTGTTAATCAACAAGTGTTCTTCAGAGTGATCTCAAGGTCGTGGGATCGATCCCCGGTAGAAGCGTTTTTTTTTTTTAATTTTTTTCATTCAAAATAAGACTTTCTACTTCATCTAAATCTCTTTTTTGACTATCTGAGTGAAAAGAGGCGGATCTACGTTGATTCATGTATCCATGGTACTGAATGGACGTACTGAGGATGTACAAACGCGCGGAATCTTGACGTCCCCAGTACGTACCTGAACGTCCACCGTACCAAATTGGACGTCCCCAGTTGGTACGAAACGTCTTGACCGGACGTTCTCAGTACGTTTTGGGGACGTACTCGTGCTATATGGGAATATAGCCCTTCAGGGGTAGGTAGCTGGTATTAAACCAAATATGTTCTCATCTACTCACTGCATCGGGAGTAATAAGCGTTTGCTCCCTCATTCAAGGTCAAAAACCTGTCAATTCACTTCCACGGACAGAAAAAAAAATTACCTTCCGTGGAAGGTGAAAATAAATTGACTTTGGCTTGCTTCCTTGGTAGAAATATACATAAACATACACTTCCTCATATTCCAAACCTATTACTCAATCGAAACTTTAAATATAAATGCAATTACACCTTAAACAAATTCGAGTGTCAAATCGATTTTCGTTCAGATTCAAAGACTGTCTGTAACCTTAGATCATGTAACACATTGATTTGGTTCTAGACTCGAGAGATCGACCACTTGAAGCACAATTTTAAGAACGACGCTCTCAAATATATGTATTCGTGGATAAAATCATAAATAAAATTAAATATATCTTGGTAGCAGAGGTTCATCTCCTTCCATGTGTGTGTATCAAACTTCACAGGCGGAGGAAATGTATACCTTTGCTCCCTTGATAAATAAAAATATATATAGCTATTATTCAAATGAAACCCTATGGCTTGTAATCCTTCATTGGAAAGCATATTGGCAGAGGAATCCAGCGTTCTGATTGAATTTTAGTTTCCAGTAGATTTTTGAGGTTATACATAAAATCAAAACATAAGTTCAGAGTTTAATATATTTTCGAGGTATTTTCATCAAGATTCCGAATTTCGTGAAAGATAAGGCATTGTAACTAGTTTGCAACAACACTTCGTTTCGAAATGTGAATACGGCATACAAATCAAATTTCTTTATCTACTCACATGGATAAAATGGCATTAAGCGTACAGATATGAACCACCGATAAATTATCAATTAATAACGGCTTGACGATCTGTGATTCATCCAGACAATTAAACGCGTTACCATGACAACACAGTTTCTTAAGCACATTACCATGGCAACAAAGTTTTTCAAACACACCTTCAGACGTAGGAACTGTCAACTGTTATTTCAGAATTATTCAGTTTGTATCAGAATTCCTCGTTAAGAATGTATGCAAGAAGTATAGTCGATGAATGTTTTAGGTACTTGCATATTCCCAAGAAGATCTCATCCTTGTGGGCATGACAATGAACGTGAAACACAATATTCATGTGAGCAAGAACTGCGCAAGGAGAATATGAATACAATCCTGAGAAATCGACAACTTTGATATCTCAGCGGATCGAAGAGTTTTAATCTTCTACGAAGACGTCAGATGCAAACTTCTTATTCACAAAGATTAGTAAGCAAGCCATTTTGATAGAGATTTTGTATTCTATTATTGGACACATCTACAATCAATATTTCAGATACGTTTCTCTTTGGTTGCATGCAGCTGCATAGTATTATGAAGGTAGGTATTATGTTCTCAATTTCCATTCCCTTCGAAATATTTTGGAGGTTAGCAGGTAGGTTTCAAATTTTCGGAATTATGAAATCTTGTCGAAGAGAGTAATGATGAGTTCGTAGAAAAAGTATAGTATGTCACTCGTTTATAAACTCTTCTAGACCCTCGTTTATTGAACACTCGCTCCGCTCTGCTGCGCACGTGCTCAAAATACTCGTTGCTGAATGGACGGCATAAAATAGCAGACAAATACATTCTAGTTCAAAATTCAGAATTATAAACCACCCTGTATTCGTTCAAATTGAATATCAGTAGTTACTAAAACAAAAGTTTCGACCGATAATAAATAGTTTCGACACAAAAAAATCCTAAAGTTAAACAATCTCGATTTTGAACACCCTATATCTCTGTAATCATTCCTGCTAGACACCAAGTGTGATGCATTGATGAAAGCGGAAGAATCTGAAAATTCAATGAAATACAGGGTGCTCTATTTGAAAATCGAGAGTTGATGCCTGTTACGCTTCTAGATTTCAACTTCGGAATATGATAATTGCAGAAAAATGTGACCCCCGCCAAATTGAAATCGACGTGTCCGAGCAATTTTAATTTTTTTTAACGACATCGGAGATTAGGGGGGTGACAAGTTTCAGCTGGGACACACTGTATATTGGAACGTTAACGCATGTCGGAAAGATTCAGGAGAATATTCAACTTTTCACTAGTGAATTCAATCCAAATGAAGTCTTCACCTTCTGTGATCTTGAATCCGCTCCTTAGGTCTTCATCAGAAAATATTTGATGGTACTTTATTTCGTAGGAAGATACGATTTCGGAGCTGGTGGAACGGATATGCAGGAATTCCTTGACATCGAAAAATTCCTCAAAACGGCCCAAGAAGAAGATCTCTTCGTTATCCTACGCCCTGGCCCTTACATCTGCTCAGAATACGAACACGGAGGCTTGCCAAGCTGGTTAATGAGGGAAAAGGGAATCAGAGTGCGCACCTCTGACGAAAAATTCATGATGCACGTCCGCAGATACTTCACCACCCTTCTAACCTTGTTGACTGCTTTCCAGTTCACCAGAGGAGGTCCAATAATAGCCGTGCAAGTAGAGAACGAGTATGGCAACACTGAGAATCCAAAAGGAAATCCACCATTCGTACCAGATACTGTGTATTTAGAGGAACTGAGGCAACTGATAATGACTAATAACATAACAGAGCTACTATTCACTTCAGATAACCCTATCAAACGTGAGAGTAGAGGATCCCTTCCCAGTTTGTTCCAGACAGCAAACTTGAACGCGGAACCAGAATTGAAGTTTGACAAACTGAAGGAGTTGCAGCATAACAAACCCTCCATGGCAACGGAATTCTGGACGGGTTGGTTCAACTCATGGTCCGAAAAACATTATGTAGGCAATGTTGGGCGCTTCAACAGTACCTTCGAGAGGATCCTGAAATACCCTGCATCTGTGAATCTGTACATGTTCCATGGAGGCACTAACTGGGGCTTCACAAATGGAGCCTCTATCGGCTCTCACGGCCAACCTTCTTATCAGTCTGACCTCACTAGCTACGACTACGAAGCACCTCTATCAGAAAGTGGGGGTTATACCCAGAAGTATCAGTTGGTTAAAGATCTCTTGGAAATGTATAACCCTATCAAGACCAAAGTACCTGATATGCCAGTCTCAATAGGACCTATAGCATATCCAACTCTGAAACTCAAGTACTCCCTTGACTATAAAGATATCGTTGCCCAAGCACCGCAAACTGTGAACAGTGAGAATCTTGTGGCTATGGAAAATCTACCAATCAATGGTAACACAGGTCAGAAGTTTGGCTACATCATCTATCGTAAAGAATCCATCACCATCAACAAGGGAACGACACTCACAATCAAAGGATATGTCTATGACACTGTGAATGTATACGTTAATAATAAACTGATCACTAAGAACGTCGTGGATCTAGATGGGTTTGGTTACTGGAGGCTCAAAGATGGAAACATCTCTTTGAGTTTGGACAAGAAACTTGAAAATGCAACTATCGATTTGGTGGTTTGCAATATGGGTAGGAACAACAACGGTATGGTGAATCCCATTGAACGGCTCAAAGGGCTATGGCAAGGCGTTTTGTTAGATGGGGAAGAGGTATTAGACTGGAAGATAATGCCGCTGGAGTTCACTAGAACATGGAATAATAATCTAGTAGGTTGGCGCGAATCGAATAGCTCGAAGAGTACTTCAGTTGGAGCGAGATTGAACAAATTCGAATTGGTCCTTGAACAGAAATTCGATACGTTTATCGATATGAGCAAATGGAATAAGGGGATTGTGATTGTGAATGGCTTCGTTTTGGGACGTTATTGGAGAGTTGGCTCGCAGCAGAGCTTATATCTTCCAGCTCCTTTTCTCAATATAGGAAATAATGAGATTACTGTATTTGAAGAATTTTCCTCAAAGACTGAATTAGCTTTTTCTAATGATCCCATTTACTTCAACAATATGACAAATCCATTTTAATGTTTATTATTTCTAATCAACAAATGTACTACTAACACATGAATATATCGTTAGTTTATCTGTCTGATCACTTCGATTTTTTTTCTTGTCATAATTATCATGTACTCAGGATGAAAACTACTATGTCATAAACAAGATGACTCTTTTCATGTAAATCGAGATAATATTTTTTGAAAACTCCGAAATAATGCAATTCAAGATGAAAATGTTTATCTCGGAACAGCAGAAGTAACTTGATTTTAACATGAACATTGAACAGGAGAGTTGCAGCAATGAAGACATCGATAAGATATATAGGCCAAGTGATAGAAAGTTTCTATTTGCGGAAAGAAATGAAATTTTGTGGGATGGTAGAGATAGGCCACGTTTATACCGTATGGGTAGTTGGTATGCTCATCAAGGAAGTCTAACTAAATTCAGACCAAATGCCATAGTTAATGCATTTTTACACCATGTATCTTCAGTTGACTAACGTTACCAACTTTGTTTTGACTTGATTATTTTTTTGAGGATAGGATGTGGAACTCCACTTGAATTCATAAATTAAGAATAAAACCTTTTAGTAGGATACGGAATTAGCTGGAATTGAATGGAATATTATTATGAGAACTCATGAAATAACTGCCACTTGCACTCAAGTCGAGTCAAGGCTATACAAAAGTAGACCAAAATGTTTACACCGTCTTGGTCATCATACTATTTCAGTCTGGTACGCAACAAATTTCGGTACCAAAACAAGCTAGCAACTTTACCAAGTATACAGTTAATACCAAACTGACCAAAAGTATTTAGTCAAAATATAGTCATTATATAGTCAGTTTGCGACCTAGCGGCGCTCGGTGAAAAATAGCACAGTTGGGGTAGGTGCTATTGGAAAAAAGTTCAGATGAGATATGTAGATAACGAAATTGTGCACAACTTTGTTTCTTGCATTTTTTTGCTCTGACCCATAGTTTTCGCTCTACGGCGCGCCTAAGTTTTAATCGCGAATTAAGATGATATTCTTTTGCTCAAAGAATTAATTTTTCAACAGCCAGATGCCCAATTCGATACATTTGATCTGATATGACAAAAATCAAATCATGCTATGAAAATATACGAAAGAAATTTCCTAAAATGATCATCTACATCCCCTGACGGGCACTTTGTTTTTTTTTTATTTATTTAAATTCTTTTAATCATCTCATTATTCACGAACATCCGCATCCTTCGATACTTCGGAGGGGTATTTTTGCACCTCAAATTATCTCTTTTCCAATTAAAATCATGAACAAACACGATAAAACGTATTCGAAGTCTTTCTTCAGCCCCCCTATATGGAGCAAATGTCAGAAAGTGGCAAATAAGGTGTCGTTGAACTCACAATGTAATCTATCGAAATATGTAGAAATATACCGGGTGTCTTATTTGAAATAAGAGAATATGGGCCATTTTCGGCCAAACCGGAAGTGACAGAAGACAATTGGATGCGTCCAATAATGTATATTTATGAACTATACTCACAAACCGAATTTCATATGTTTATTTGTATATAGAAAAAAAACAGGAAAGTTATAGGGGTAATTCACTTTTGAAAAACACTCACTCACTCTTTGACATCATTGGAACACCGTAGAAAGGTCGGTGACCTTTCACTTTTCTATCGATACTTCCACGGGAAATGTTCTTCAGAAATCTCTGCTATCATCCCTTCACTAGCAATACCAGTCAGACGAACTAGACAAGCCCAGTCAGCACATCCTTTCGTTGTCAACCTCGAAAGATGTCGAACAACACTTTATCAAAACTCCTTCATCCATAGAACGGCTAGGCTCTGGAATTCATTGCCTGAGGAAGTATTTCCAACAACATATAATCTCCAGAAGTTCAAAAATAATTCCAATACCTACCTCCTGTCCCTATCGTCCCTAGATAGATAAGAGATAAAGGACCACGCACACATTATATGGGAAAATGTCTTTCGGTGAAAATGGCTGGATTTTTTATGTAGCTGTAGACATTCTAAGTGAAAGACTCCATTGGCCCAACTCGATCGGCGCTAGATGGTGAAACATCATGATTTTTGTGTATTTTTGAGTCTTCGAAGCTTAATGAAGAATATGAAAATCTCGTGATATGCATTCACCCTACCAAAATTCATCAAAGATAGGTATGTTTCAAGGTTAGGGAAAGGAAGTTGTAGTCTTTTCAACAGGTGGTCAACAATAAACTGATTTTCAGAAAATCCGAATGCCGTTGCCTATATGACAGCTGATTTATTGAGTTCATCAATGGCGATCGATCAGAATAAACGTTGATCGAAGAAAAGATAATGATAATCATTGATACAGAGTGATCTGAATAACAGAAGTTGCCAATATACTCATTTAGATGATTTAATCATGATATAGTCCTGAATTTCTTCTGATGCCACAATGAGAAGTTTTATAACAGCTGTAAATAGCCATAAAAAAATTCACGTGTGAGATTCGGTATGAAAATTTTATACCGGAATTATATGTAGAATGGAAACATTAGTGAATGTTTTTACCCTCCCTGTACCCAAGTAAATTGAAATTTATAGTTTTGGATACATTTTTCATATGAAAATAATTGATTACATATAATTTTCTTACAATGTTTCCGGAAAATGAAGAATATTGTCAGAATTGTTTCAATTTTGTCTAATTATATGGCTGTCATGTGCCACAAAATGTCCACTTATTCATTTCACGTCTACATGCTCATGTGGATGTAAAATTTCCAAGAAATTCGCTGGTTACCATAGTAGAAATGTCGAAATATAGCATCTGATTGGTTGAAAATGACTGGCATGAAATTTTCATCAGAATTCTACTCGTTCTCATAATTCATTAGTATAGGATTGGAAATAATGAGGAAAAATGAAAAGATACCTAGCAAACATATTTATTCCCATTATTATAAGGACATTGTTCGAAAAGGAATAGTATAAAATACAATACTGACTTCAATACCAATACAAACTAGCATCATTCCCCATGGACATGCTTCAAGGGATGCCTTCTAGCAGACACAGCCGGTCGATTCAAAAGAACAGAAGGTGATATCTCCACGGAAGAATTACAGTCACTTTGTTCCATATCGAACATATAGGAGAGATCGATGTCGTACCTTGGGAGCTTATCTCTCAAATACGAAACCACGTTTATTCCCAGCTCCGGTCTCCGGCTCATGATGAAACTCGACAAGTATCTTGGTACTTTGTCTTTTTCAGCACAGTGCAGCAGTAGAGCCCAAGAAGTATAGTCTGAATCCAGGACATATGTGTTGTAGACTCCTTCATCTTGAAAAAAAAAGAAATTGATTAGGAACGAATTTCTAAAATCGTCAGTTCTCTGTAGCGAAAAGGTAGGGGCCTGCGTTTGACATATTCACAAGGTATGGTATCTAACGAAACTGATTTTCAAACGCTTTGGCACGTGTTTAGCTATTTATGTTAGTATATTTCAACACATTTCCAGACATATGGAAGATATCACGGGTGTCTACAATACTAAAGAGCGGTGATCCAGCTGATATTCAAAATTATCGTCCCATATCTGTCTTATCTAATTACGCCAAACTGTTCGAAATAGTAATTTATAATCGAATATTCACCTCAGTACATATGATAATTCCACCATATTAACATGGATTTATGACCAAATGCTCAACGGCAACAAATGTTATCAACACAGATTTTGCTGAAGCGTTTGACAGAATTGATCACCTTTTTCATTACAGGAACTTCATTATTTCAGCTTTCATTTGTCACCTGTTTCATTTCCCAAATCCTATTTCACTCAACGATATCAGTTTGTTTCCTATAATGGCTTCAATTCAAATGACTTTATTACTACCTCTGGGGTTCCACAGGGTTCGAACCTAGGTCCCCTTTTATTTGCATCATTTATCAATGATTCAAAAGACGAAATAGTTCGTAAACGATTATTCTTTGCGGATGACTTGAAATTATTTTCTAGAGCCCCGCCATGCTGATACACTATTCTTTGATATTGTGTCAGCAGACGTAAATTTTCTAATATTTCAGTTACTCTGATTGACCATCAGTCAAAGTATTTTTGAAAAAGAATGGCCCTAATATTTTATTGTCAAGTATTCCACACCAAACATTAACAGTTTGTCGACCTTGCTGACGCACTTCACTAAGAAAATGTGGATTTTCGGATGCCCATGTATCTGAAATTCTGTCTATTAGGCAGACCGCTTGTAGAAAAACTTGATTCATCGGTCCATAATATATGTTCGAAGAAGTTTCTATCATTATTCAATCAATTCAACATCAAGTCGCAAAAATTCAGTCTTCAATTTCTTCAATAAGGTCTGAATTTATATTTTTTCAAAACTTCAAGGATAGGCTCCCTTGAATGTTCATGTGGTCCGGAACGTGCGCTTAATTCTTTTGCCGAAGTCCTCAATGATTTTTTCGGATTCTCTATATGATTCAGTAAGATATTCAATTCATGATTTTCGTCATACCCACATGGTTTTTTTTTCGTTGTAAATTGGAAGTTCTTCTAAACTTCAAGTAAATGTTCTTGATGGTTCGCCTTGATGGAATATTATCATTCGGAAAACGCAATTCATAGCCACGTCTTGCAGCGGATGCGTTTTGATTATTTTCTATGAATAAAGTTACTATTTCTTGCTTTCCTGTATTTGAATAAACCATGATTCAAGAATTGATTATGGAGGAAATTAACAAGAAATTACGAAGGAATTTATCTTCACAAGAAATAACAATAAAATGTCATAACAAACCCTCATTTTTTTCCAGTTACTCATGGTTACATCATGGCATACTATCTACAATCATAGAATAGTTGTTAGTCATTCAGAAATCAATAGAAACGAATTTCAGGTTCGAAAGTGTCTATATTATGAGAAATACAAAATAAGATAAGTGTATTGAGTGGGATATTTTCGGAAAGCTCTTCGAAAGGTCTATCTAATAGCGCGAAAATATATAGGGCGTTCCATTTAAACATTGTCAAAAGCATTCAAATCTGGTTTTCCAAGTCGATAGTAATCACCACAACCATACAACCAGACAAGCAGATCATTTTTCTGTCAAGAAAATTAAATCAGATATTGGTAAAAAATCCATCTATCACAATGGAATGATACAATACAATGGGCTTATATCACAAAAAATTTTTATTTCATAATTCGATAGAACTCACCCAAACTAGCTCACCACCGCAAACCGTTTCTTGCTGTGAGCTCCCTACGTTTTATAAAAAATTATTGAAATCCCCGATTTTTCGGACCTCTGAAAACGAGGCGATGATGTGACGTCATAACCCTAATACTGAAACAAGACTATTCCAGACATAGACACAGTTGAAAGAATTAATATATCAGTTGCCTCAGTCTCAGGTATTTTCTTTAAACTATGGCGAGATGAGGTTTCTACGTCATGAGAGGGTCCGTTTTCAGAAGGTACTATTATTTATGTCCAAAAATAAAACATTCCAGATAATTTTTCGATCGAATTATGTCGTCAATCATTATTTATGTATAAAAGGATCATTATAAACATGGTTTGAGTTAAAAGTTCTACTAAGGTGTACACGCCCATTCACTACCAAATAACTTGAAGCTGATTAATAGGATTGAAAAATTTAAAAGAGAATTCAAGAAACATCTACTCCTGTGATATCGACATCTTATCTTATTTTTATAGTTTTCTTGTACAACTACTATAGTTTTCAATTGTGTGCCTAGCAGCTGAGAAAAGATTCTTTTTGAGTGTGAGTCTTATTTTACTGTCTTCTTTATTTTATTTTGTCAAATATATTGATGTATTCACTATGTTCCCTGCTATAAACAAATGTTGTTTCTTGGGAATAATAAAGTTGATTGATTGATTGATTTAGAATTTTTGCACATTTTCTTGCTTCCTGTATATATTCTGAGATACTGAAAATATACCAGTTGATTCGATGAGGAAAAAAATCCCCCGTAGGACTATTTTTCGAATTTTTTTCTACTGTCAAAAATAATAAAGTTACGGGGGGTCGTTCTTTATAACGTGTCACCCGGTACTCACAAGTATCTTCCGAATGTATCCAGTGTGCAGGCTCAGCAGCATTGGGAATGGTCCAGGAAATGTTCCCGATGAGCAGCTCGTTGATCGGGTCGTCCGTGAAACTGTAGGTGAAATTCATGTTCACATCCTCCAGAGAGGACATGGCAAAATCTGCTCGCATGCATCGGTAGGACAGAGCTTCCTCAGAGCTCGCGTAGTATTCCATCACATACCAATTACCCATCATCTGGAAGAAAAACATCACATATTCATATTTCTTTAACACTATTTCAGGAATTCGGAACAAACGTGATTTTGATCGTGTGTGTGATCGTACTTGAGTAGGTAGATTTCAATGCAAACAAAACACAAGCATGCCTTTTCTCTAGAAAAGCCGATCTCACTGTGCCCAACATAAGCTTGTCAGGAGTAACCATAACTTATTTGAAGACATCCATTTCGATGCTTGGTATAGCTATCAGCAATAACCTCTCTTGGGAAAATCACGTGAGATCAATTACTAAAAGTGCATCCCAAAAACTTGGTTTTCTGTTTCGGGCCAGGAGCTATTTCACTACCAGTCAGCTGCTTATGATCTATAAGGCACAGATCCGACCTGTCCTGGAATACTGTTCCCATATTCGGAGTGCAGCACCCAAACATACCCTGAAACTGTTGGATTCTATCCACAGAAGGGCAATTCGTCTCGTGGGTGATGCCTTGCTCACAAACTCACTCACCACTTCTCTGGAACACCGTAGAATTATAGATATTTTCATGGACGATGCTCTTCTCAAATATCAACAATTGTTCCTTTCTTGGCAGTCCCCGCGAGATTAACCCGTCCAGCTGAGGCTTCGCACCCCTTCGTGGTCACTCTAGAGACCTGCGAACATCTATTTCCAAAGACTCGTTCATCCAACGAGCAGCGAGGCCTTGGAAAACATTGCCAAGGGAGGTCGTGTTTCCCGAGGCATATAACCTCGAGTAATTTAAAAAAACACCAATTCCTACCTAATTTCCCTTGGCTCTCACGATGTTCTCTGAACAATACAGGATATCTCTTTTCGTGGGAACCAGAACATTAGAAAACAAAAAGGTACTATCTGTATATAAATCGTATGCTGATACAGAAAAGTGATCATCTGCCACAGTTACCCCAACTATCTGTGACGACGGTAGCCATACTGTTTTTTTTTTCAATATTCTGTTGAAAAAAAGTTTGTTTCTTTTCAAATATGCAGAAAATTTTCATGAATAGGAATATCATGTCTATTTTTACCCTCGGTTTTGTGATCAATTGCCATGAAATGGTCAATCTTCAAACTCTATGAGGATTTGTTTTCGTTCGTTCCAAAGAATGAAAAAAAAAATCAAAAAATCAAGAGTTGAAGTTTATGGTGGTATCCGATTACGGGGCCCATCCAATCATTATAGGGAACATTGAAGCAGGGTTAATTCAATGTACAAATATATGGCATCTGAAGAAGCTACAGTACCTATTAATGACAATTCCGTGAGATTCATTGTTTGTGGAATATTATTCCATTTCTAGCAATTCCCACCAAGGATTGGTCGAGTTATTCAAAATAATATTATCACAAGTTTATCCTACCTCTTGCAAATCGAAGTTTCTTATCGCTCTCACTTTGGGACATTTCGTTTTATCTTCGGGCCGATTTCTTCTAGCGATGATTCCACTTATGAAAAATACACTGATAATGTTCACTAAAAACTTGACATACTTCCATTTCATAGTGGAATGTTTGAGATGTTTTCTTGGATGCGAATGATTATTTTAACTTTTGTTAGCAACAAACATTTTTCTTATCGTTAATTGTGGGCGATTATCTAACGCAACAGTATTTCACCAACACAATTATTGAGAGTAAATATTTACGATTCTTGGACAGACCAGCAATGATATAATTATTTATTTTCATCAATATACTTAGTTGAGACTTATGCAATTGATATAAATTAGTTGCCGAACCTTCTGGGTCTTACACTTTGCACGTGCATTTAATTGTTTGTTTTCATTTTTATTTTTTGCTTTTGCCACCATCGAATGTATATTGTTCTCAGTACTCTTCTCTTAGGTTCTCCTTGAATTACTGATTCAAAAATCCAAATTCAAGACCGCAAAATAATGTTGGCAATACTTCATATTTTTTCGAGATAATCTGAAAATGATATCCTATTCCAAAGAATTGATGAGAATCTGAAGGTGCTAGGTATATCCATGGGCGCCTGCAGCAGGGTGCTGACAGAAAGATAAATACATAAAAAAGATTGAGAATTTGTTTAATTAGGTTAATATTTTAATGAAAACTCAAGGGTTCTAGGTTGTCCAACAAGCACATTTATTTTCGCACTAAATTCAACATTAAATATTCTCGTGAAAATTCCACATTATCAAATGCGGTGTCCTCAATTCTAAAGATGAATCCATTGGGTATATAACTACTAGAGCGGTGATGAATTTTCATAGTGACATCTAGTTATACAGGGAGACAAATAATCCTCTGCAAAATATTGATAAATTATTCTCAATGCTGTCAACATGAAGAAAAATGTATCGGAACTCTCTCAATCTCATTGTCATAATGCTCAACCATATTCGGAATGGTTTTGCAATTATCACTTATCTTCAAGAAAAAAATCATGGAAAAATGTGAGATTTCGTATATATTGCAGTGTTATTTCCATAGATAATATCTCGGATAGGTTTTTGAACCATCAACAATAGTTTCTTGCATTTTTTGTGAACACAAATTCCATCGACTTTGGTGTTTCACCTTGTATATTCATTCTCTCGTTTTTGTGGTATCTTGAGGAAAATTCCTGTCATTCAATTTCAAACATTATAATATAAAGCTGATCAATGTGTTGTGCTCGGTCTTTCTGTAATAATATATGTATATATTTACTATTTTCGCAAAATAATCTGTTATTAAAGAACATGAGATTTCCTACGAGTACAAATCATTACAACCCATCAGAAAAAACTTGCAAAATAGTGATATAATGAAGAATATTTCTCGTCAGATAATATACGAAATTTCACGTTCTTCGAAAAACCTTGTTTATTATTGAAAAGTGAATGAATTTCAAATACAGCATCCTGTACAGGGAGTCCGGCAAACCATTGATAATAGCTGCTGATAAACAAGTACCTACATAACCTATCAGAAAACCACAACTTGACCTCAGTAAAAACCTCACGGTTTTCAAGATATTGAAAATTTCATGAAACAAATTTGGATTCCTTTCACAGATCGTTCTTTAATCAATCAAATAATAAGGAGCGTGTCATATTCATTCCTATTTTCCATTGATATTACATACCCACTGAATAGTAGATGTATTAATGCAGATTTTCGAGGCACTGATAAAGCAGTCATATACGGCCTACAATAGTTATTTGTTTAACTAGGCAGCAAAGTAGTAGGAATCCAGCTAAGGCAGTCAATCTACTTTGCTGCCGAGTTGAACATATAATTTTTTCTCCGATTGTTCATAATGATATAGGAGGATATTGTAATTGCAAATTATTACAATTCCCACAATCTCTTTATTTTTCCTGTAGTGTTCAATTAAAATGAAATTTGATAGAAATCGCAGTTGTCCATGATAATTATAGTTTGACAATTCATGAAAATTCTGACAGTTGTGCGAAAAAATATCGGTATATTTAAATTATTATATAATGGACAGTGAAAGCGACCTGGAAGTACCTACACCTCCAGAAATAAGGAAGGTGGCAAAAAATATAGAGTTGAATTTTTTGCTGGAGAAGTCTCGGTGACAAAAAATATAGAGTTGAATTTTTTGCTGGAGAAGTCTCGAATGAAATATGAAGGAAATTATAAACGATTTATGGATTATTAATTTTGCTGATACATATCAATCAGCAAAGTAACCACTTTGCTGCCTAGGCAGGAAAGTAATACTCTGCTGATTGATATGTGTCAGCAAAATTAATATTTGCTGCCAATCGGAGAAAAAAATATTCTTCCGATTTGGATCCCTTATGATTTCTATCATGTAATTTTGTTAGGATTTTTTTCAGATCATGAATGATTGCTATGGACATCGAAATAAAATAGAAACATTTAGTTTCATGGTTGACAATGTGACATATCTGGAGACTAACGGAAGTGTTAAGTTTCTGGGTATTTTCCTTGACAAGTTTCTGAACTGGAATGTCCACTGTCAACACTTAACTTCCAAGCAATTCCCTTAAGTTTCTTATTATGAATTTGCGCTCTATTTTGAATAGAACTCAACTGCTGAATATTTATTACTCTCAGGTAGTATCCAGACATAGAACTTGAGTATGGTGTCTGTTTTTGGGGTAGTTCAAGCATGGCGCAAGATGTATTCATTGCCCAAAAACGCATATTACGATGTATTGCAAAGGTCTTGACCAGAAAATCTTGTAAACCACTATTTCAACATTTTAATGTGTTAACGTTAGTATCTACCGGGTGACACAGGGTATCGGGCCACCCCTGTAACTTCTGCTTTCGTCATCGGATTTTTCTGAAATTCGGTACAGTTATATAAGCAATTATTTCGGATTTGATCACATTACAATCCAATATGGCGGACTTCCGGCATTTCTGGAAATGCCAGCAACTTTGTTTTTTCAAATGAAACACCCTGTATATTTTTACATATTCAAGTTCAACAGGTCGAAACAAGTGCATTCTTTATTTCAGATGTCATTTTTTCGAAAAAAATGAAATTAAAATTGTTTTTTCATTTTACCTCGTGGATGAATGAGATGTGGTCAAGACTATTCACAATGAGTCACACATAACAGAAGAACATAATTTTTTCTGAAAAATTATTTTTTGTGTCACTTATCCAGGAATCAATTCCGCCACATCACTTTTTGATCAACAATCATTTTTTTTCAAATGGAACCCCTATGGGCCACCTACCCGTCTCTCTAGAACATACATTGAGGAACAAAATGACATATCATTTTTGTTGTTCGGTGCAGTAACAAATTGTATACATTCAAAAATCAACAACTAGTTTATGAATTTCCTTGCAGTTAGAATAATTTTTCAACTAAGTAGGCTGTGGAATAAATGACATTTGACATCAAGATTGCACTTGTTTTGACCTGTTGAACTTGAATATGTAAAAATATACAGGGTGTTCCATTTGAAAAAACAAAATGGCTGGCATTTCCAGAAAAACCGGAAGTCCGCCATATTGGATTGTAACGTGATCAAATCCGAAATAGTTGCTTATATAACTGAACCGAATATCAGAAAAATCCGTTGACGAATGCAGAAGCTACAGGGGTGGCCCGATAACCTGTGTCACCCGGTATATATATGTCAGAAATATGCCTATATATATATAAAAACAGGTCAAGTGAATAAAAATGTTCATCACTATAACACTTTGCTGCCTAGGCAACAAAGTACCCACTTTGCTGCCTAGGCAGGAAAAGTAATATTTTGCTGATTGATATGTCAGCAAAATTAATATTTGCTGCCAATCGGAGAAAAAAAACATTTCTCACAGTATGGGCAATACATGGTTTGGAAACTAAGTAAGCTATTAGAAATGCGCTACTTTTCATAGCAGTAGTAGAAAAACACACTTTCCGCCTTCAAAAGGTATAGGTTCTAAAGCTAGTGGTCGAAAAACTAGTTTCTCAGTGTACCACAACTGACCTGCGACCTTTTATCGATCACAGCAAAGCACACGAGATTATACTGCTCATTATATCCCCGATGATAGGCTAATTCAGTAAATGAGTGTCTCATTGAGCGAAGAGCTCAACATTAGTCAAAATGGCACTGGCTAACGTCCTGCCAACGTCCTACGAGCATTATACTGCCGGTGGAATCCACGTGGGTTTGAACGCGGACAAACCGTATTTCACTCTGAACGAAAGGAACATTACTATCTACAGCGGGGCTGTCCATTATTTCCGGGTTCCGAAGCCCTACTGGAGGGACAGGCTGCGTAAGCTCAGGGCTGCAGGTTAGTCAATCCACTACGAACGGCTATTAGCTCAGTAAAAACAGTAACGATTAGGACCAGCGTTGCCAGACCTACTGTTTCAACAGTAGATCTACTTTTTCGAATGTATGATGTCATCATACAGGACGTGGAAATAAATTCTGAATTGAGAAAAACTTAATCACAAATCTGCGATTGAAGTCTATAAAAATAACAATTTTCCATCGTTCAACTTTGAACCCCTTGATTGGGTGAAAGTATTGAAAAGGAACATTCTCAGATATATATCATAATACATCAAATTATTCTATTCGATTTGAGGGATGATGTTGATTCTCAATTTCATAGGATTTTGATCTTTCATGCTCTCTGTTTGGATATTCAACAGATATAATTCAATGTTCGACGTGGCAAATAGCCAGGAAGGTAGTTGTTTTCTGTTGAATATTCAGAATTATACAGGGTGCGGAAAATGATAGGTACTATTTGGGATGTCAATAAAAACCAAACCACAAAGGGAAAACATTTTTTATTTTTATTTTTGAAATCTACATTTCATGCCATCTGAGAACGTTATTTTCTAAAAATGATATTTTTTAAATGACGGCCATTATTGTCGATGCACTCTTGTAGGTTCTCACGGAAGCGCGTCATTACCCGATGGATCATTTCTCGGGGAATTGCGGCAATTTCTTGTCTTATGGCTGCCTTTAATTCTTCCAAAGTCCGCGGACGATGTGTAAAAACTCTCGATTTGAGGTAACCCCAAAGAAAAAAGTCGCAAGGCGACAAATCAGGTGAACGCGGCGGCCAGCCGAGATTACCCCGTAAAGACACCACTTTGTTTGGGAACATTTCTTGAAGAAGATTAAGTGAACGACGCGTGGTGTGCGATGTAGCACCATCTTGCTGGAACCAAAGATGTTCTCGGTGATTATCGTTCAACTCGTTAACTTTTGGACGCAGGAAATTGTTAAGCATATCAAAATATCGATCTCCGTTGACTGTTATCGTTATTCCATCTTCTTCGAAAAAGTAAGGACCCCACACGCCGAACTCAGATATTGCACACCAGACGGTAACCTTTGGACTGTGAAGTGGTCGCTCATGAAGTTCCTGTGGATTATTTGCCGACCAATACCGAAAATTTTGCTTATTCACGGTACCCGATAGGTGAAAGTGAGCTTCATCGCTGGACATGAATACAGCGCCTCGGGGAATGTTTTGAAGAATATCCCGGCATGAATTTGTACGGGTTTCAAAATCTCTTTCACTTAATTCCTGCACTACCATCATTTTGTACGGATGCATTTGGAGTGAGTTGTGTAAAATTCTTCGAACGCTTCTATCGGAAATTCCCAAAGCAGCTGCATGCTTACGAGCTGAACGCCTTGGAGACTGTTGTACGGAAAGTCTTACTGCATTCACATTTTCCGGTGTTCTCACTGTCCTTGGTCGGCCAGTAGATTTTCGTTTAAGCGTAGAACCTGTTTCCCTGAAGTGTAAAACCCACCGACGAATTGTTCTTCCATCCGGAACCGCGCCATGCCGACCAACATCAAACTGATTACGGAAGGCACGCTGCGTCGCTATTACAGATTCCCCATTTCTAATGAACTCCTCGACAACGAAAGCACGATGCACTCCGCTCCAAGCCATGTCGATAACTGAAAATTGCATACTTTTGTCTACCTAACGCGACCGCGTGCACAGTGTTGCCGGTTTTACAAACCGAGCAACCACTATTTGAAATCCTGCCTATCTTTTTGCCGCACCTGTATTATATGCATATCTTTATATGAAGGAGAATGCAAATTCTCTACTTCAGAAGATTTTGTTTTCGAATTCTCATCGTTTATGTTCAATAGATGTAATTCAATATTCGTCGTGGCATAAAGCCAGGAAAGTAGTTGTTTTCTGTTGAATAAACCGTGAAAGAATTGATATTTTCATCACATGGAGAATGCGAATTCTCAATGTATTTCTTTATATATATATATATCCATTTTTTGTGTTCATACATATATCTGAGAATGTTCCTTTTCAGTATTAGATCTACTGTTCTTGTCTCCGTTCTACTGTTCTCCTGTTTTAGGCATGAAACCTACTGTTTTGTTCGTTAACTTTAAGCCAAAGGCAAAACTGGGAAATAGCAAAATTTCACACAAGCGGTCGTAGAAATTAGGCTTCAGAGTTGATAATGTGTGGTTTTCAGTTGAAGAGTATTGTTTTGGGCAGAGCTGGGTACTGATAAATTGTACTCGAGTACCGGGTACCGGGTACTGTTTATAATTGAAGAACGAGTACAGAGTACTGAGTACTCCACTCATTGGATGTACTCAGAGTGAAGTACTCCGTGTACAAGTACCCGAATTTCACGGGTACTCATTTCAAGTACATTTGAATAGAGAATTGAGAAATTTTGCATCAGTATTAGTTATTATTAACAATAATAATATCAACAACTTCAACAATTGTCTTTTACAAAATATAAAATTGACCCATTCATTTCTTATTCATTACTAATACGTAAATTAAAGCAAAAATCAAACTACTACAATTTTTCATGTACCTGACTACCTATATACTTCATTTCCTGAGTTTACTCGAAACAGCATGAAAAAGTTTCAGTATCCCTAGGTTGCACTTAAAATGTACCTTAGCAATCTATGGCCTATTACATTTGATAAAAAAGTTGGGTAATTTGAATGAAAAAAAAAAGAGGTAAATCTAGCAACGTTATTGATATTGTTGTTATGTTGTTGTTATGAAGCATGATTATGACATGAAGGAATTCACTTTTTCACAGTTTCTTCAAACGTTTCATTAAAGCCTATGATAACGATTATAATCAATCCAGATGAAAATCATTATAGTGAATGAGTTACACTTTGTTCAACAATTCAATCTCTCCTAGGTTTGAACACAGTAGAAACATACGTCCCGTGGAACCTGCATGAGCCTCAGCCTGGCTGGTTCGATTTCGGTCAAGGCGGTTCGGATATGCAGGATCTGCTGGCAGTAGAGGAATTCTTGAAGATCGCTAAGGAGGAGGACTTGTTCGCCATCGTGAGACCTGGACCGTTCATTTGTAGCGAATGGGAGTTTGGCGGGTTGCCTAGTTGGCTGCTGCGAGAGAAAAATATCAAAGTGAGGACCTCGGATGAGATCTTCATGAAATACGTTACAAGGTAATCACAGTTTGTTCTCGAAGGAAGAAATGCCCAGATTTTTTTCGAAGCTTGTCAACTCAAATTTGCAATCAGATGAGTTGAAGGGAATGGAACTAACCTTGGTACTTCAAACTCCTAGGTTATTGAATTTCCAGGTACTTCAATGTCCTCCTACCTCTTCTAGCCCTGTTGCAATTCACCAGGGGCGGTCCCATCATAGCTTTCCAAGTAGAAAACGAATATGGCAGTACCTCGAACCCAGGAAAATTCATTCCTGATCGCAACTACCTCCGCCAGCTACACAGAATCATGACAGGTAACGGTTTGGTGGAATTGCTGGTGACCTCGGATAGCCCCACTCTCAGCGGAACCTCTGGGACCCTTCCAGGAGTATTCCTGCAGACAGCGAACTTCGGAGGCAACCCTAAACCGGACTTCGACAAGCTAAAGGAGCTCCAACCGAACCGACCTATCATGGCAATGGAGTTTTGGACAGGATGGTTCGATCATTGGTCGGAAACACACCACACACGTGGCGATGAAGATTTTTACAACACCTATGAACTCATACTAAAGTATCCAGCTTCTGTGAACATGTACATGTTTCACGGTGGGACCAGCTTCGGTTTCATGAATGGTGCCAATCTGGAGAACTCCTTGAGCGACAACTCAGGCTTTCAACCTGATACGACCAGCTATGACTACGATTCTCCTCTAAGTGAAAGCGGAGATTATACTCTGAAGTATGTTATGGTGAAGGAGTTGTTGGAGAAGTATAATCCAGTAAAGACAAGGTAAACTTTGAATTATTCAGGCGATATCTATGTGTTGATGAATGCTTTGACTGCAATAAGGTCACTTATCGAACTCTTTATTCTTCAGAATACCTCAGACACCACACCAGGCAAGGAAAATCAGTCACGAGCCTCAAGAAATCCAAAGCCACCTACCCTTCAATGCATTACTGAACCTCTCACCGAAATTGGTCAGCCAGCAACTCGTACCCATGGAGAATCTTCCCATCAACAATATGTCAGGCCAGAGTTACGGTTACATAGTATACAGAAAACGACTAGACATACCTGCTAACTCCACACTGACAATAGGAGGAAGAATCTGCGATACCTTGATAGTCCTCATTAACGGCAATATGGTAACGAAGCCAGTCAGCAATGTCAATGATCTGAACAAGTTTGGGTCTTGGAGATTGAAAAATTCCAAACTGTCTTTAGGAACCCAGAATTTAGTTGGCGCAACGCTCGATTTGCTTGTAGAGAACTGGGGACGGGTGAACTTTGGATATCTAGATCAGTTCAACCAATATAAAGGGCTTTGGCAAGATGGCGTTTATCTGAACAACAAGCAACTGTCTGATTGGGAAATTTTTCCTCTAGAATTCAAGAGAGCTTGGACTCGAAGCTTGTCAGGCTGGAAAGCTCCAAACAAACCACCTATTGCAGGTCCAGCTTTATACAAAACCAGGCTTTTTGTGAACAACACTTTGGACACGTATCTGGATATGAGTGATTGGTACAAAGGCATTGTTATCGTGAATGATTTCGTGTTGGGGAGGTACTCGAGAATCGGGCCACAGCAAAGTCTGTATTTGCCTGGGCCGTTTTTGCAACAAGGCTGGAACGACATAATCGTTTTTGAGCATTATATTCCAGCTAAACAAATCACTTTTTCGATCAAGCCTATTTACAAGACTAGGTTCCGGAACAAAGCTCTACAATTGGTAGACCATCTACTTGGATAAAAAACTCATCAAAATTTATTGCAATTTTATTCAATGACCTGAGAATCAGGGAATCCTCGATAGCTAAGCCAATCAGCAATGTTAACAATCTGAATTAGTTTGGATTTCGTAGAAGATATTTGATTACCGAAAAACTATTATATTCGTCCTACAGAAAAGCATTTCTAACACACAGAACCCCTATGATAAGATAGGATGAAAATAATAAATTTTGATGAATTCGATCTTTCGATACAAAACAGATACAATTCATTACTGTGTGATATTAGCCAGGAAATTTTTCGTTTTCTTTCAACAAGATCTCATAAAAGAGCTGCCCCAATAATCTGCAGAAGCGAGACAGTTCTGTTTCGGCCCAGCTGACTGGGACAACTTCGGGTGTATATAACACTGTGATATAACCCATCCTGAAGACGCCGGATAATGCATGATGCTCTAGTCGCCATCTAGTGGCGTTAGTTCTGAGGTGGGACCTTGCAATCGTGTCATACACTGCATGACGCTGCCCTCCATAGTCAACATGTCAGACTCCTAAGCCTACACATTACAGAGTACTGCTACAAGTAAAACACTCTGCTGACAGATGACTACTTGAGTGGAAGCTTCTCCAATCCTATTCATTGAACTAGATCTCATAAGAGATCTCTTGGCCTACTCTCCTACACGTTTTAGGCGAGGCGTGCCCTAGATAACACAATGATGTCTAGTGAACATCCAATAAACCTCCATGTCTGGACACCATAGACATTCATTATCTGTACATCACATTCCAATGTGGATCCATTGTCCCTGACAACACCAGTACATCCTAGGGACTTCCCAGGGACGTCCCTGATTTCAAACTAGGACATCCCAGGGATATCCTTTGTCGGGACAAAGTACATACTAGGGACGTCCCAGGGCCATCCGCTTTCAGACAAAAAAGATATCCCAGAGACATCCCTTAGACAAAAGAAAAAAAATTAGGTCGAGTAGGGATTGAAATAGGTACCTTCAGCTTATCAAGCACGCACCTTACTCCATTGGCTACTATGCTTTATAAAGATTAATGTACTAAACAGATTTATCAACAGTACAAATTACAAAACTGAAACCTGAATGAATACAATTTTGTAAGGATTTCATGTATAATTATTATCATTCTTGGGTATTTGAAAATGAGGGGCATTATGCATTTACGATTTCTGTTTGCGAGAAATGGTAATTTCTTGAGAAGTTTTGAGACTATATTCTTTATTTTCATTACACTTATTCTCCGGAAGAAATACATTTTCGAAAAAATTTTACTCAATATTTTGATGAAATTCAATGACTTTCTGATGTGAATGTATATCAGATTTTTCTGGGACATGAATTGGGATGACCTAGGGATGTACCAGGTGGGATGTCCACTGGACAATCATGTCCTTGTACCGCGGGACAAAAAAGGGACGTACCTAGTACATCCCTGTGTTGTTAGGGATATGTCCATTGGATGACAAATGTCTGAATTATTAGATATCCACTGGATGTCCATCGGACTATATAACCCCTAGTCATCCAATGGATTTTGAATTTTGGTCCAATTATTGTCCAAAGGCAATCCATATCGCATATGTGGAAATTTGTATCAGGAAGGTAGGATGAACAAATAATATGAGTACATCAGTTCTAACAAAGATAAGGTTGGGAATAGCATATAGAGATTTAGGAAACGATAGATACGAATTCGGTTCCGAGATTTCCATGTTGTGTAACTTTAACTTGGTATTCTTTGTCACACTGTAGAATGTTTGGATTATGAGAATTTATTATGAATACACATAATGAAATAGAAGAGAACATTAAATAACTGAAAATGATAGATAAATATATATGTGTAGGAACAACAACATTTTGAACATTGACTAACAGACACTGCTATTTTGAATGTTTGAATAAAATAAAATTCCGAGTAAAAACATCTATTTTACATAAACTTGATGAGAACCATATCATAGTTTCAATCCAAGTGTAGAAACATAAATGTTTTGATCACTATCACTTTTTTTCAATAATAATGCTCTCAATGATCAATGATATGCACACCACAACAACAAACACACAATGAATAGTGAACCTTAATGGCGTCTTTGGCGTCAAATATCAGATACAACACAGTATGTTTATTGTGAATCACTACACAAAGAAATTATGGAAATGAGTCATCAGCAATATCGTCCATTTCTGATTTCTCAGTAGATATGGATATTAATTTTAATCTTTGTACGTATGAATTTCTCGGTTTTGTTTTGTATCTGAATTATCCATAATCCTTTCAATAATTATTCATAAAATCAATGATAATTCAAACAAAGGTGGAAAATCAATGAAGAGTAATAATCATCATAGATAAGATAACAATGATTCACAACATTGCTTAAAAGGAACTACGATATACTGCCTCTCACAGTGTACTAGCGATAAAAATTAGCACAAGTTCCGACTACACACAGTTTTTTGATTTCGAGCGAGCAATCGAAACAAAATGGGAGACCACCACCATCACCACCACCACGGACCACCACCACACCATCACCAAAGCATTATAGGGCAGATAATCGACAACGTTCTACACCCCGATCATCATCATCATCATCCGCCTCCACATCATCACGGTCCACCACCACCACATTTCGGACCACCACCACCACATTTTGGACCACCGCCACATCACCACGGTCCACCACCACCACATTTTGGACCGCCACCACCACATTTTGGACCACCCTGTGGACACCATAGTTTCTGGCAAGGGTGTGACCATTGCCATCGTCACAGATGGTGAGGAGTGATGAACTGACAGTACCTGATTTTTGGATTTGGGCAACATCGTTATAAGTGTATGATTCAATAATTTGTCATATGTTAATATACCATTAAATTTCTGTTTATTGTTCGCTATTTTTGTTTATTTCTGACAGTGACATTATAAGCTTATATCGTCATAGTTACGATATCTATAATGAGGGTCATAACTCCCTTGGGATGTTATAGATGCTATAATATAATAAATTGAATAAGAAATGCATAGCAACAACCACGCAATAACGTAGCAATAAGGAATCTCCTATTCGCGGTAGTCAAGATCATCCTCTGACGTTCTGATGACATTGAAACTATACGGAAAAACATGTCTAACTTCCAATCGGGAAGGTATCTAATGAATGAAATCAGTCAGAAATAAAATTATCTATGTATCACGGGAATTATAGAGCCTCAATAACCTCTGGCAATTATTGCTGTCCCTCGGGCCAGAGGCCCTCGGGACGCAAACTTTGCCATCGGTAATTAAGGCCCTCATAATTCCCTTAATACATAAATAACTATTATTGTTCGCTTAAAAAAAATATATACAGTGTGTCCATTTAGTGCGTAATTCTTCTATATCTCGAAATCAATCATAACAAGAGAAAAACTTTGGAGAAAAAACTTTTTCAGTTACTAAAGTTGCTCATTTCGAAAATATTTCCAACAATACTGGGTGTTTTATAAAAGCGGGTCAACTCGAAGACGAGTTTTTTCAAATGGAACACCCAGTATTGTTCATTCGAGATTTATTCCGCTTAAGTTCAGCTCTACATCGCTGTAAAAAAATTGAATTTGGTTGCGGCGTTGCCAAGTTATAATTGATGAACCCATTTTTACTACTATTGAAGGGTCACGTTCAATGCATACAGTAGTAGCAAGGTCTCACGTATACCAATCCAGTAATCTCGCGAGATAATCCTCTACAGGGTGCTGAAATTTACATTCTGAATATTGTAAGATTCAGACGACGATCATAAGAATTTTTCAAATGGAACACCCTGTATTTTTCATCACAGATTTATTTCGACATCATTCGCCTTTTAATCGCAGAAGAAAAAATCAATATCGGTTGCGGCGTTTTCAAGTTATGAGTAATTTCCTTATATTTACTACTATTTCGGGGTAATTTGTACGTCATGATGGTTCCTTAATTCAGAGATCTTAATTTGAATTGAGTGTGGGAATATTGCTTGCCACATGACATTCGAGGTTCTACATAGATCATTCAGATATTTTTGTGATATGTGCATCGTCCAAATTTGAAATATAAACGGTATTTTCGGATTCAGAGGGGTCGAATTAGGGGGTAAACGTCATTTATCCAATTGTTACATGAAATGCTTCTATAGGATTTGGCTTTTCGCAAAACAAGCCCCGACTATATTACATATTTTCGTCGACCTCAAACACTTATAATCACATCATGGTCCTATTTACACGTGGAATCTATCGGATTTCGTGAAAAATTAACTTGACAACAGCAAATGACAGATATAGCCACGATATAGCCAAAGTGGTACAAAAAACAATAGTCCAAACTCATGCGAAACGAATTTGTGTGTAGTTATCGAAATGCGATATAAAGGTTACAAGCGGATAACCTTCAAAATATCAAAATAAAGATAATTTGAAATGATAATAAGATCTTTGCCTATATACAGGGTGTCCCTGTCAAATTTCAAGGAAAGATTTATCGGACATCTCTTTATTTCACTGCGGCCACGTTGGTAGCATTGAAGAGAAAGATGGAAGAGGAGAGAACTTTGCTCTCTCTCGTTCAAGATAGGAAAGAGCTCAATGGGGAAGACCACTGAGAGAAGAAATCCGTGCAAACCTCTTTCAATCGACGAATCATGATTTACGTTTGATGTACAATCAATATTATGAGTTGAAGTTGAAGGGAATCGAATCTATATCGTTTTGAAATCAGCATATTTCATTCGATATTTCAAACAGCTAAATATGATGATGGAGTCGTGACGTATTAGTCTCGAACTGTAGCTATCTCTCTCTGATACATCGTCATTCTGCAGTGTTGCAGCGTGATTGGTCATTTCAAGGACAATAGGCGTGTTAGGAATAAGACGTCGCACCAGTCACACCAATGAATTGACCAAATTTCAAATGGCGCAGGAATTGTGTGTTTTGAAATGGACATATTCTAATTTATT